ACTTGGTGTATCTGGTAGGTTTGTTCGAAATCTTTGTGGCCCAGTTATGAGAGCCCTTCAACCATTAATGGGTATGGCTTTAATCTGATTCACTGATTTCCAAGCAATCTCCACCTCAGACGGTATTGTTCCAGATGTATGTCTGGGGCTCATTGCGCCTTGCCCCACACCTGATAATGTTCATTTGGTTGGAGAATTAAAGACACCAAGGACCATCCCTGATGCATATCTTCATCTGAACGAAGCGCAGAGAATGCCGAAAACTGGAAACTTGCCGAACCATCTATGGAAGATACACCCGTGCTGTCACACGAGGTAGATAACGACTGGCCTTCGCTCGTTAACAGAAGCACAACTACGAACTGATGCACACTGGTGGTTCTCAAATTCCGGGTACCAAGTTAATACAGTCTTACTCAGACATCCAAGTCTTCAAAATCATGACAATTACCGAAATCACAAAAGGAAAGAACTGAAAAGTGGCTGAGTGACTGTAAGCCTCGAGGAGAAATCCGGTATTCGTGGATCCAGGCAAAGCCTGGCTGGGTTGCATCATAATACTTTATCCAACCAGTCACCGCAATCCGCAAAGAAACGACAGATTAATGAAGCATAGATTAGCATTCTTCAACGAGCACCGAGGCCCTCAAGGAGAGTGGGGAAGTTCTTTCCAAAACCTTCTGTCTAATCCTCCAACAAGAACTGCGCACGGATTGGACCCTAGGAGCAGACCTTTCCACAGAGCAAGCAGTTCGTCAATTTGCACCTATAGCTGCTCGATCACTCAATCCCACCCGTGTCTAAGTCCATGAATCCATTCTTGTCAGGGCCAGTGAACAAATGAATCAGGGTAAACCAATGTCTTGACCTTCGTTTGTACGTCTAGTGAAACAGATTTGAACCAAGATATTAAATGGTATTATTGGCAATGCGAAGGAACGAGTCTTGAATCTATAAATGAGTCATGTATCACATTCACATGCTTTATCTTCTGAACTGTGATAGACCACAAGGATGGGACCAGATACTCAATGTGATGAACAAGCCACTCTTGTTCAGGTGAGAAATGATATTTGGAAAGACAAGAATAAGTTGCGAGGAACTTTGGCTGCCTCCCACTAGTCGCAGAAAACCATAGACAGAAGGGGGCTTACCCTAACCATGCCATTGAGGTTGATGGTGAGGATGCGGTGTATGTTGGCTCAAGTCTGGGTTAAAAGGTAGTTGCGGGTCGGGCCCATGATCATAAAAGAATGATCCGGTCTAGCCAGCCTCCAAGGCCAACACCATTCTACTATTCGTGGATCCGAGCCCTGGCATGACTGTATCATTCAAAGTACTGACTCAGTTCGAGGACAGTATCCCCGCCTGGGTTCATAAAGGAATCATCCAGTCTGGACATCAAGTTCATTTCACTATTCCTAGACCAAAGGCAAGGCGGGCTGTATCGCTTCCTTCAAGATACAAGTATAGTTCATTGATGATGGTATTCCAGTCTGGATTGTATTGCTACCTGAGAGTATTTTTATTATCATGGTCTGGTCCTATACGCATATACCTAATATATCAGCCTTCCGTCAGAATTCTATTGCACAGCCTATCACATTTATAAGCAGCAATTACCTAAATGTAGGCACCTCGCTTGCTTGCCAATGCCAATTGAGATTCTCCTGCGGAATTATCCCGAGGAAACCCTGCCGCAAGGTCCGACATTGATGATCCCCCGCAATAGTGCATATTCAGGCTAAACTAATCCCTGAAAAATGCTGCTTTGTGCTCATCTCCTCATTATACGCATCTGCTAGTATACTACCCATTGGCCATGTCCCGCCAGCGTGCAGGGGTCCACAGGACTTTTACTTGAATGAGCAATTCTGCCTTCAATTTCGGCTGAAACGATGAGTGATGTCAACATGAGCGGTTGGCAAATCCAAGGCATCTGCCGATTCCTACATCTATAGAGTCGTGAATGAGCCGCGATCACAAATATATAAGTATAGTCGATATCCCTCGTTGTGGCCAGGAAAATCGCCAACTCGAGCAACAATGGCTGACATCATGTCATGGCACTATGGCAAGGCAATTGCCATCTTTGTCTCTCTAGCCCCTGTGGCTCTATCTCTAGACAACTTCCCAGACTGCACCAATGGTCCCTTGAGTAAGCTCGCCGTCTGTAATACGTCCCTCGATGTGACCACTCGTGCTCGGTCACTGGTGAACGCCATGACCTTCCAGGAAAAAGTCATCAACACGCAATACAACTCTCCCGGTGTGTCCAGACTAGGTCTTCCAGCATACAACTGGTGGAGCGAAGCATTACACGGCGTAGCAGGTTCACCTGGAGTTGAATTCGCCAGCAGCGGCCCATTCAGCTATGCCACTTCGTTCCCCCAGCCTATTCTCCTGGGCGCGACCTTCGACGACGACTTGATCAAGCAAGTCGCCGCCGTAGTAAGCACCGAGGGCCGGGCATTTGGTAATGTTGGTCGTGCCGGACTGGACTTCTGGACGCCCAACATTAACCCCTTTCGCGATGCGCGTTGGGGCCGGGGACAGGAGACACCTGGAGAAGACCCGCTGCACGTCTCGCGATATGTCTATCAGCTCGTCGATGGGCTGCAGAATGGCATTGGCCCAGCCAATCCCAAGGTTGTTGCCACATGCAAGCATTTTGCAGCGTATGACCTGGAGGACTGGAATGGCGTCGTCCGCCACTCCTTCAATGCGGAGGTGTCATCGCAGGATCTGTCCGAGTTCTACCTCCCTCCTTTCAAAAGCTGCGCCCGTGATGCCAAGGTCGATGCCGTCATGTGCAGTTACAATGCATTGAATGGTGTTCCTGCCTGTGCCGATTCCTATCTTCTGCAGACGATTCTTCGCGAGCACTGGAAGTGGGATGAGCCGGGCCATTGGATCACGAGCGATTGCGGTGCCATCGATGACATCTACAACGGCCATAATTACACAAAGACTCCAGCCGAGGCCGCTGCTACGGCGCTGAACGCAGGCACAGATTTGGATTGCGGCGGGGTGTTCCCTAATTACCTTGGACAGGCCGCAAACGAGGGACTCTATTCCAATCAGACTCTTGATACGGCACTTGTTCGGCGGTACTCCTCCCTTGTGAAACTGGGGTACTTTGATCCCGCAGAGAAGCAATCGTATCGTTCCATCGGTTGGAAAGATGTCGACACCCCTGCCGCAGAAGCACTCGCTCACAAGGCGGCTGTCGAGGGCATCGTTCTATTGAAGAATGACAAGACCCTTCCGCTCAAGCCCAATGGCACGCTGGCGCTGATCGGACCATATGCCAACGCGACAAAGCAAATGCAAGGCAACTACGAAGGCCCGCCCAAGTATATCCGCACGCTCCTCTGGGCCGCTACCCAGTTGGGATATAATGTGAAATACGCCTCTGGCACAGATATCAACACAGGCAGCACCGCTGGGTTTGACGCGGCACTGTCAGCAGCCAAACAAGCAGATATCGTGGTGTACGCAGGCGGTATCGACAATAGCATCGAGTCCGAAGGCCACGACCGCACGACCATCGTCTGGTCTGGGAACCAGCTAGACCTGATCAACCAGCTCTCAAAGACTGGCAAGCCCCTCGTTGTAGTTCAATTCGGAGGCGGACAAGTCGACGACTCATCACTACTCTTGAATCCCAACGTCAACTCTCTCCTCTGGGCTGGGTATCCCAGCCAAGAAGGCGGATCCGCCATCTTTGATATCCTCTCCGGGAAGACGGCGCCTGCGGGCCGCCTGCCAGTAACACAATACCCGGCAGACTACGTCAACCAGATTCCGATGACAGATATGGCCCTGCGTCCGGGGTCGAACACTCCGGGACGTACGTACCGATGGTACGATAAGGCGGTCCTGCCATTTGGCTTTGGTCTGCACTATACGACTTTCAACATCACCTGGCCTCGGAAGGCTCTAGGACCGTATAACACTGCGGCGCTGGCAAGCCGGGCACCCAAGAATGTACCGGTCGATACGGCTCCATTCGACACCTTCCGCATCCAAGTCACCAATACAGGAAAGATCACGTCCGATTATGTGGCGTTGCTGTTCTTGAAGACCACTGATGCGGGACCAAAGCCATATCCTCTCAAGACGCTGGTGGGGTACACTCGTGCGAAGCAGATCAAGCCTGGCGAGAAGAGATCGGTGGATATTCAAGTCACACTGGGATCGTTGGCGCGGACGGCGGAGAATGGTGACTTGGTGCTGTACCCGGGACACTACACTCTGGAGGTGGATGTGGGAGGGAACCAATATCCCACTGCTAGTTTCATGGTTCAAGGCAAAGAGGTGATTCTGGATAGCTTTCCCCAGCCTCCTAAAACTCGGTGATGTGGCCCAGATTCTCGGATGTTTGGTGATAGGATGCAGACGAGCAGATTATGTAGCGAAGTGAATTTACATTCCTGGTCAAGAGAAGCGTCCAAGATACATCTCAAGCTACATAGTCTTATGTCTCGATCGTACATATATCACTATAGTGGACGAGGAATTTAAGGGCAGAGAGATCATGATTGCCTTTAGCCGACATTATACGCCGAATTCAGATTTACCGTTTAGGATTCGGCGAGGTCTCGATTAGAACCCGTACAATCCGGATACTTTTTACCTGCTAATGTCGAGCGAATGGTGAGTAATCTTAGCCATTGGAAAGAATCGATCACTTTCAAGTTCAGCTTGTATTTCTCTGCCACCATTCTAGAGCCCTAAAGAGCCACCTCCTAAGCCTCTGTCTCAAGCAGCACCTAGACTCTCCTATCTAGGGCTGCCCTTACCATAGGCCGAACTCGCGCGGGGAGTGAGCGGAAGAACCGTGCGAGGTAATTCGGCCACGCCGAAGCTGGGAGCGATAATGCTTACGAGATCGATCGGGACGTCGCGCAACGCATCGTTCAGGCACTGGCCGTGCCGACTACGTGCACAAGTTTCTGATGAGTGTATTATATTTTCTCTACAGTAGAATTCCGTCGTCAGTCGCCGCTCTCAGGAATCACAAACAGCGGTCTCTCCCCGCGACGACTGCGCCACGCGTTCGTCGAACGGAATAGATCCCAGCAGTCGCGAACAGTCCACCCCCATAACCGGAGGAATGTCTCGGTGACTTCCCAGCCGGATGGATCCCAGGGATCCTTCCAGACAAGGATACCCGTCTCGCCGATCCCTACCTCTCGGCGAGAGTGCTGGACGGCAGACTCTCCCTGACCAGACAGATCGCGACAGAGTTTGTCTTCGTCGATGAAGTCCTGGGTTAGAATTAGAGTATCCCGCATGTATGGGAAAGGAATGAGGTCTAGCCATGGATGGTGTGGAACCGTGCGCTGAATTGCAGTCGGTCTCAGCGCCGGCGGCAGTTTCACCTCGCTCATGTTCCTTCCTGGGAGATGGGACGGCCCCTGGATAGTGAATACTGATTGCGCATCGTCGGTAATATCACCTGGCCGGTAACCCAGTACCTCCAGATTGACATGTAATGCTCGCATGACGTTCAGTCTTGTTACCCCCAGGCGTAGATCAGCCACGGGGGACCCACTGATGGTGTTGCCTAGGGCCATAAGGATGGTTTCAAGCTGCTGGAAGGTACGCCTGGCATTGACTGCAGTTGGGCCCAGGATGTGCATTCTAGTCAGAACCTGAAGTACAAGGTCGACCTGGTCGGAGGGCTCTGTGGGCATGTGCCGCTGCTGGTCCAGTTGGCTGTTTGCATTAGCTGTTCGGCGACGCCGTCCTGTTCCATTCGTTAGTACCTCTATTCTAGGGAACAGAGAACGTCGAGGCCATGTGAATACTAACTCCGTGCTCGCTGGTTCAATCGATTCTGCAATTTCCGTCTTTCCACTGGGTCTGTAACTCCCAACCAATTGTCTTGGGCTGTGATCTCAACTCCCGTCGGGAAACGCTGCAGAAAGGACGAGGTTGCAACTACGGAGCTCTGCATATTGTCTGCGAATGGAGGTTTTCGGACTTTGCCCACTGCTAAATGCTGACTGCTGACAATATGATGAGGCAGAGCAATATAATCGTTGGTTATGACCGAAGATGATAGGACGCTCTGTCCTTAAGTGGAGAGCCTTAAAACAGCAATCACAGGAGAGAGTCCTAATAGACCAATAAAGGGACTAAAAATGACGAGCATTTGACGATATTTAAATTCTGCAGGCAGCTGACGGCTTAACTATGTCCGGTGCCAAATTCCACGGTTTTGGCTGCCATTAGCTTGCCTATGATCTACGGATCATCCACCACAGCTCCATAATTCTCCTGGCTGAGTCTCTTCGGGTTCGGGTTCGGGTTCGGACGAAGATTGCAGGAGTATTTTTGAGACATTCAATTGGATCTGTTTCTAGAACGGATTCCCCAGCTGAACCATTTGTGACGTTACGATTGGTGCGTGGGTATAAATCCATTATTATACAACAGCACCTTGCTTAGTTTAGAGGACCAATTGAATAATTTCTTCCAGGCATGCACTATGCAAATGTCAGCATTTAGCGTAAATCGTAGGTAGTTAACCTTATTAGTTTCCGATTGTCCAATCATTGATTCGTCTTCTACCAAAATAATGTGCCAGATTAGTGATCTTCCTAACCCCGTCTCTTAAGACCGATCAGAATATGTATAGACCCATGGACACCTTGCCTCAAGAGTACTCGACTCCCCACTGGATAATATGGCTTAGAGTTGCGCCCACAAACCTGTCCTGTCTGTATTAATCATGGCCTGAGTCTTTCAGGTAGCGCCCAAGCCAGACAGCCTACTTTGTTACCACCGAGTTCTCTACAAATCTGAACGGTAGTGATATTATTTTCAGACAAAAATGCTTGTTGACTGGCTACACAAAGATATCTTCCGAATGGATCCTATCCGATAGGGTCCGAGTGATTTCGAAATAATCCATTCTTTCGTACCTGAGATTTGATCTTGGCCTGTAGATGAAAGCGACCGTTACTTCAAGAGAATATCCTGATAATAGTTCTCCTAGAATTACTGTACATGCATCGAAGGGCCGAGGGCATCATGCTGAACCCTGGACAGGACGCGCATCGGAGTCTATGATACAGAGGAATCCAGGGCCATCCAGATCACCGACGCTGCCCAATACTCCTCTTGCTCGACATCATCTTGACGCTCGTCTCATAATCGCTCGTCCCATGGTTAGGATCCTGGTCGTGCGCATTCTTCGCTCCACACTTAGACCCGTCCTTGCCCCCGCCCAGCGGCCCATCAATCTGCATAAACTCCCGCTTATCCGTCGCCTTGAGCATATTCTTTGCCGCTTCAGGAACCCATCCGTTAATGAAATCGCCATGCCAGCAGTACGACGAGCCACAGGCCAACTCCAGCGGCGGCGTGCCCGACCACCCATCCGGCAGCACCTTGCGCAGATCATAGCGGACGGAGAACCGCAGCTGCGGGATGCGCTTCATGCCTGCCGGGCAGCGGTTCGCGGGCTTGAAGCTGCCGCTCCAGTTCTGGGTGCCCGAGTAGGCGTATTCGAGGGAGTCTGGGTTGACGCAGTCCGGGAACAGCAGAATGGACTGCAAATGGTTGGGGCAGGTCTTGGTCGGGAAGGCGGCGACGTCCTTGCCGCCGTCGGTGTTGGAGACGCCCTCGCACATCCACTGGATGCCGTAGACGCTTTCGACGTCCGCCGGGGACGTGCCCTTGGCGTTGCCGGCGACGGCCTTGAAGTTCTGCGGGAAGGGGATCTCGGCGTCGCCGATGTTGATGTAGTAGGCGCTGAAGCGCATGGGGGTGATGGGAGTGTGTTTGCCGTTTTCGGTCAGGTATAAGGTCGGGACCCCTGTTTTGGTTAGATTGGCTTATGATTGAAATGAGGAGAGGAGCGTACAGTAGACGGAGAGATCGTTGGGGTTCTCGTTGGTCGAGCAACCGGCCTGGAGCTCGGCCGAGGTGTTTGTGTTGATGGTGACGGCATCGGATCCGAAGAAGCTGTGCATGTGGCTCTTGTACTGGCCAGGGAGAACAATAGGATCGATGTTCTTTAGCATGAACTGCTCGGCGACGACCACAGTATAGGCATGCGCGAGTCCGGCCGCGGCTACCAGGGAAAAGAAATACATGGTGAAAGAATGTAGAGTCGATCAACGACTAAGACGCACGAGACAACAAATTAACAAAATCAGAAAGAATGACTGGAATGTGACTGGAAGAAGCAGACAAGCATGGCCACTTGCAGGTTTATATCTTATTTGCATAGTTTCACTACAGCCTATAGTAGAGAGTCAGGTTGATTGCGCTCACGATGTTAAAGCAGCCCCTCTGTCGCAAGTTGATGAATATAGCACCCTGAAGGACCCTAATTGCCTAGTGCGACACCCAGTCCGTCTCACCACCAATCCCAACCGCGTGCCAAGAACTCCACCAACTCCTATGTCTCAAGGAAACCAACTGAATAGTTTGATAAAAGCGGACATGTTCGTTAAGGCAGAGGGATTGGCCATCTTGCAGCTCCCTTTTTCCCTTTTCCGGTACGGCAAAACGGTAGGTCTCAAATCGTCCGTAACCAGCAAGCAAAGCTCATCAATAGCGGACAAGCTCCGTTGTACTAGGGACTTCCAGAGATCTAGACTGGAGCATTGGCCAAACATTCGTATTCGTAAGTGATTCTACTTTCATGTTCTTCAAGTACCCCGAATATTCCTTTCCAAATGCACACTCTGGCGCTTGTGACCAAAACCAGCTAGCTGAGTCTGATCACTGCTTAAGAATGGCGCCAAAGTAGCGGCTATGTCAGGAGAACAAGTGCATCGACACTCAAGAGTCATATGGAGGAGACTTGTAGCAATTAATATCAGGCATCAACGATAGATCATCGAAACAATGCAGGTAAACAGAGTGCAGGATCTTAAGGGGCACAATCGTGAGCACGGCCGTCTAGCTCCACAACTGACTCGCGTGCAGGAAACATCGCTAGGTTCGGAAGACATGAAACAGGAACAAGAGTCAGTGGGCTTACACAGTGCCTAGCATCAGAGGGATGCAGCGACGTTCAAATAAGAGAGGCTAAATTCGAAGGATTGTGGATCAGAACTTGATTAAGAAAGTGCGTGATGTTTATTATTGGAATAGACTTGTCTCCAGACACATTACGCTCAGTTGACATTGACAATAATATAGATCATGACAATGTATAAAAGAGGAAAGAGCCCGGATGTCCAGTCCAAATACTTTCTACCCAAGAACCACTTCCATGACTTTGGGATGATCTCCCATTGCAGCTCGCCCGAGTCAATATTCGTCAAGGGAGCGATTCGTAAAGCTGATCTGGAGTGCCACTCCAAGCACCGAAAAATATACCGCAAGCCCGAGATCGAAGCTGTCTTCTGCTCGGCGATGCCTTTGTCGAAGACTTCGTGGCGGTCAATTGAAAATGGCTTTCCCTATTCTCCGAGATGAAGAGGCCAAAGTCGGCGAGTGAGACAAGAGTGAGGCCCAGGGTCTGGTACTGAAGTTGGAATTCTGCATTTTTGTTGACTCTAATCACACTGCAGAACAAGATAAGCTAGGGAAAAAGAAGTATCAAGACCGCGGCAAAGTACGGCTTTACGCGGGTCCAGTCGGCTGAGCGTTGTGCCTGTCTGGATGGCACGAGTAATGCAAAGTACAAGTCCAAGAGCCAGTAGGAGGCCACGGACATAAGTGCTGTCTAGCGTGGGATGCCTGACGTCTAGGTCGAGTCTAAATGCGATATAGCCCTTTTCTTTGGACCTATCGGGCCACTTTAACTATTGTTGCATCGGTACTAGCGCTCGTATACCAGAACCTTTCCAATTGAAACATTTAAAGCTGACATTCCCAGCATCGAGCGAGTCTAACGATGCATGATTGTAAGATTCTGTTAAAATTCCAGATGAGACTTATGAATCGAGTATTCAGCAATCTTCTCGCGTCTATATCCCTACCAGAACGACAGCTGCAAGTCTGTCCAACATGTCAGAATCTAAGCCCATCCAGACCTGTCTCCTGAGTTTMGAAAAGATGGACCTAATCGATTTCGCCGGGCCACTGGAAACGCTGTCGTATGCTCAAGGCCCGTCTGGCGACCGGTTGTTTTCCATCACTGTCGCCGGTCCCAGCGATGAAATCTCAACCGTACAGGGCCTAGTCATCAAACGGAACATCAGCTTTGAGCAAGCCATGTCTTCCCTCACACAGTTTGACGTCCTTATTGTCCCAGGCGCAAGCTACGTGGTCACGAAGGAGCTCTGTTCTCCGGACTTTCCAGTCATCCAGATCATTCAGAAGTTTTCTTCTCTGCCTAAGGATGAATCTCGAGTCCATCCTCGACTCCTTCTCTCAGTCTGCAGCGGGGCCTTTTTCCTTGCTTCTGCGGGAATTTTTGCCGGCCGACGCGCGACCACCCATTACACAATTATTCCAGAGCTAGCGGAGCTCTGTGCAAAGTATGGACAGACTGAGGTTGTCCGGAAGAGGTTTGTCGATGCCGGCTTCCCCGATAATGGAGTACGGATCATCTCAACTGGGGGGATTTCCAGTGGCTTTGACGGTGCGTTGTATGCTGTGGAGGTCCTCTGTGGCTTGTCCTGCGCCGAAAAAGCCAGTGATGTGCTGGATTATCAGTGGAGAAGATCGGAGGGGTTGTTTTAACAGTCAAAAGATTGAGTAGGTGATAGATGTGTCGCGACGAGAACCAAAAATGGATCACAGCCAGCGCTGCATCTCCATAGTTGTCCCCCGCATTCCGGGTGAAGCTATCCCGATCACTCATGATTAAGCCTGCATGTGCTGGACAGCTGCTGAGCCAATTTAGCCAACATTTCAAGTATCAGTAGCCAACATCTGTATGCTTAAGGAAAAGCTTTACCCTAAAATAACCGGTACCTCGCTAATATCTGCCTAAAAGTCAATCTAAAGCTCAGTGGTGTGAATCAGGTATTTGGAACTAATAAACTAGGAATCATCTCTGATGGTAGAACTATGATTATTAGAATCAATGTCATCTATCCATTACTAGGGTCAGCAAAGCATGCACCCAGTGTGGTGGGCATAGTTACCTCTGTCAATGCAGACTTGGTCAATAGCCAGCAGAGATCTACATCCAAGCATCCCACTAGGAAATAGTTGCTGCCCTCAATACAATGCTGCAGTTGTGCCTAAAGCGTTAGGTTCCTGTCAACAGGCAGCTTCCCAAGAATATCATTATCTACCATAACGGAGTCTCTGAGGGTTAGTATAATCTCATAGTAGAGAAAGAGATCCCACTTCTAAAATCCACATATAAGCCAATGTATCCGAAAGGTCTCCCACACCTTTCAGTTATAGTCATTAGGAAATGGCACCACACTCATTTCTACCCAACTTATAAAGGTAGGGCAGATCAGTCCTCTAATCCCCAGAACAGCACAGTGGTCGACTATGGAGTTACTAAAGTATGCAATTGGGATTTCTACCTTCAGGCCCACTCTGCGTTGCAGGGAACAGCTCGACCCGCTCACTATTATATTATATGGGATGAGATTTTCTCATATCGTGGTTTCCAGGGAGAAGATGGACGGACTTCTTGAATCGGGGGAATGTATCCTGGAAAGCCTGGATCTGGTAGTCATGCCTGTAAGTTGCTTTAGCCTAGATTCTGGGAGGACCACCTCACTGTTATGCACCTGGAAGGATAGAGAACCAACCTGTCATTGGTCAAATCACCCACGGCAATACAAAAGTCAAAATCCTCTTTGTTAACTTGTTTGGGAGCTAAACCCATACAGTAAGTATCATTTTACTATCTATTAAGGCTAAAACTAATCTAGAGACCACTAAGTTAGCAGAAACAGAAGGGCGTATTAAAACTAGTAGAAACTTTTCATCCATTAGCTTTATAACAAGGGAGGAACTAGGTTATACAGATAATGTTAATATACACCGGAAGGTGCGTAAAGTGCAAGACTGCTAAGGAGGCTGATAAATAATCTTCATATTTTAAGTCAGTAATTAGATATTTCATATCAAGTCTATCCCTAACAAAAGGAAGGACCACTAAAGTAACTTAACTATTATAACTCTACTTATATATTAGGAGATGTAGTGCAAGAAATAGCAATGCTCACCTACAGTGTATGATCTTATTTCCTGGAAAATACCCTAATAATTCCTGGGAACATTTTCTAAGTCTACCTATAGGTATACAGTGGCATACTAACTGGTTAGCTCTGGCAGTACACATAGAGAGGATGGAACTGTTAGAACGGCACTTCACATCAATATATAGATCTTATGGGACTTTGGAGTACATAGAAGATTCCTTAATAGGGCCATAAACTCTATTTTAGTGAACAGACTATAGCTTGTCCTAAAGCCCCTGACAGTTATTTATGCTTTCTATTCCGGCATTTAGGTTCTTAACAAGCTTTACGCCGGACATTTAGTCTAATGGCGAAGGACTGCTGATTCGCCAGCAGTTACAACCAACCTAGGGACACTCTCCGACATTCCAGGCCATATCATCTGAGTACCAAACTACATGGACAACCGAATTAAGAATGCAGCAGTATAGTGAGCGATCATACCAGATTTTGCCTGAGCTGCAATGCCCGCTACATAACCACCACATCAGGCACAGCAACCACAGCTTCCTTTAGACACTCTCCTAACAGATAGTGCACGTTCAGGACGAATTCTACAATATAGGGACTATAACCTAGTAGCCACCTTACTTGCAACTGAATTAGACAGGTCAAGCCTGCAGCCTGGAGTCAATGGGTTAAGGTGAGGATGTTCATCTCTTGCACTGTCCCTCTAAAGTAAAATTTAATTACTGTGGAGTTACAGTCAAGACATAAGTTAATCAGGTGTACTTGTTTATAATTTAATACGCCGTGCCCACAGTGACAACCCATGGCCACATTAAACGCAGAAAAAGAGCTATGGGATAACACTTTATAGGATCTACACGTTTAACCCATTTTTCCCGTGATATCACCAACCGATCTGATGAATTCCCCTATCATCCGGCCAGTCTCGCTGCCTAGGCCGAATGTCCGCTCCGCTGTCTCCCTGGCGTTGCGAGTGTTGTACAATAGGTTGGCGAGAGTGGAATCGCCCCAGTGATGGGGTTGCTTAGTTACCAACGCAGCACATGTTATATTGATGAGCACTAAAGATAGTGAGGTTCTGTGATGTATAGATAAGATGGTAGATAACCGGGTAGTTGGCCAGTCGCATTATGTCCTTTGGGACACATCTCTGATGGCTTGCTCGATGTCTTCCTTGTATAGCCCAACTGGGTCGTTCCAAAGCCAATACGGTCTTGAATCACCCAGAAGCTGTTTACCAAATGCTCCACCCCAAGTCAAATCCATGATCCCTGCGAAATCCCGGACTGCAAAACTCCTCATACCATTAGCGATGACCTGCTCAGATGTAATGCGCTTTATACTCCACTTCTGGCCGTGGACCATTTCGACTACATCTAGAATATCTTTTTGACTGGCATTGAAGGATAAGACGAAGACGAATGTGTTCTTCGTCTCACACGAATGTGTTCTTCGTCTCACACCCTCCCCCCCCCTTCTCTTTCATAGCCCAGTCGAACCATGCACCGGTCACAAGGCCTGACCAGAACATCTCAGGCTCTTTTGAACGGAGGTAGTCGACCGTATCTGGTTTGGCTGGTAAAATAACTGAATTCAACTCCGAAAACTTGGGGTCCCGCGAATATGGCCCAAACTCGCCGGGGAAGAATCCCTTACGCCTGCCCAGAATGCCATTGCCTCAAGAGACCGAGCGTGTAGAAGAAACGAGACATACGCCAATTAGCAAGACATTTCAAGTCGGACCATTGTTGATGGATCAGGTGTAACAGGGATGGAMCGAACGCGAAATAGGGAATAGTATATTGTGACGAGGATTAATCAACTCAGTATGAAAATAAATAATATTGTTGCCCGGCGTCTGTACCACTTATCGGCTTTCTATTAAGCCCATCATTAGCTCAAACAACGCCCGCCGCACTGGTAACGATGTGTCTCTATGCTGAGCTGAGAAATCATTATCGATGGATGCGGCAAAGCCGATATTTAATCAACTACTATCTAGTTACTAATCAATGCTACTGATATCCCAAACAGTAGGTTTACTGACCACAGGTTGGTCCTATAGTTAGTCAAGACAGTTGTTATCATCTCCCCGCTTTTTGGCCGATTCGGGCTGACTATACACTCCTCCAAATGTCTCCGAGACGGGAGAACTAATGGGCCCGCAGATTAAATCAAGCTGGGGTATTACTGCAGCTCACACGGTAGGATTGCCGGATTATCAATCAACACGACATGCATAACGGAGACGTGCAGATAAAATCTAGGCTGTTCGCTTCCTCCATTCTCCCTACAGCCGTTGAATCCAGAAATCCATGCCACCCTCGATAGAAAACTCACTATGACTGCAACAAATAATAACTCAAAACCCTACATACCTGTTGCCGGCATTGCCAGTGATGGCTGGTCAACAAAAGACCAGGCGACTGCTACATGCTACTGCGGTACTGTGCAGTTGATATTTGTAAGTACTACTTCAGCGTACTAGCACATATTCTACGACTATGACCTGTCCCGCTAATTACCTTTAGCCAACAAGAGGCCCCGGACTCGTTGATACATTCGCCTGTCACTGCACGGACTGCCGCAAAATAACCGCATCGATGTTCGCGACTAATTTCATCGTTGCGGATCCATATCTCAAACACGTGCGCGGCGAAGAGGCCCTCACCAAATTTAGCCAGTCGAAAACCACCACGTCCGGCAAAGCAATGGCAAACTTCTTTTGTTCCAAGTGCGGCACGCTCATGTATCGGACCGGTGAACTTTTCCCAGGACAGCGCATCCTTCGCACTGGAACAGTGGACGACTTTACCCTGCATGAAACGACACTGAAGCCACGGGCTGAGATATATACCAAAGATCGTGTTGGTTGGCTGTGTAGTGCAAAGGGGGTTGGACAGGTTGAGGGGGTGGCTCTTCCTGCCAAGGATGCTGGCATCCCCAATGAATAAACTGGGCAATTGGTGGCATTTCCTTCTGGTAACGAGCAAATCTTTTTTTCCTCTGCGCTACTGACTGAGAAGGATAGGATTGGAAATTGACTCAATAAGCGGATTTTCTGCTAAGTTGTAATAAAGGTTGACAATCTTTAGATGACAGCGGACGGGGTCAAGGATTATGGGAAAGGCTGGGGGCACGGTTCCTGCCGCGTACACATCGACACGTGTTCATATTAGCAAAATCCGCTACAGCGGGTGGTAATTTTGGCTTTAATCGGTGGACGGACTTCCGGAGATGAAGTAATTACTGGTGAAAAGCACAGTAAAGCAGAGAAAGCCGAACCATTCTTTCCCATTGTAGAGGAGCCGCTCTCCTAACTTCTGTTCGGCCCTGGGGAGCTGGGACCAACCCTGCTTTCTGAAATAATTCGGCGCACTGTCCAACCGCGGGGGGAAGTCCAACTAGCAAAATCAGTAAATGGGTGAGAATGATGAGAATGATGGCACTGCGAAACTCACGTCCTTTCGGTGGATAATGGTAGGGTCGACTTGGCCCTCATACTTGAACTCAGTGCGGTATGCCCAAAGTCCTCCAACTCTCAGTCCAGCTCAGGTGGCATAGGGACATTTGATTGCCCTTTGGGCAGCATAACATACTCAGCTGTGAGGCTAGTGGCTTGGGTAGATGCCCCAGAGCTTCCTGTAGAGTGCTCCATTCCCTATAGCTGATGAGATGCTTCCTAGGGCTTTCTTGCATGAGGGCCTTGATGAGTGTTCTGGGGTCTTTTTCCGCGGCAATAAAGGGCAACCTGACGACAGAATTGAGATTCCTGAGGAGCTGAACGACCCCATACTCGGGCTGGAGAGAGACTGATCAATCAATTGGTGTGGTGACCGGCCGATCAAGAACTTACAATTTCAGGCTGGAAGATCGGGTTCGATACAAAACTGCTCAAGAAAAACCCTGCCTGGGAAATGCTGGTCTTCTTCCACAGTTCTGGGTAAGTTTCTCTTCTATACGCTTCCGCCTCGGCTTTTGAGTCAAAATGGTAGACGTGTCGCATCGGAAAGAGAAGACAATACGAAGCGCTCCAGCGTGGGAATCTGGCTGCAGCATCGATTACGCCCTTCAGTTGCTCCGTCTCCTGGTTGGCGCCCCAGGCATTGAGGGGCTCGTCCTTGGTGGTCTTCGCTTGCTATAGGCCATGAAGTCTTATAAGATGGACTATTCTCTCCAAACAAACAGGCATGACATGATAAATCGTTCTAGCCTTGGCATCAAAAGCACTAAACTGCCTTTTTTACCCCACTATGGACAAGTCACTGCCCCACCGGACTGCAGATCATTTCTTTGGCACGCGGTACTACCCGCGACGACCCATACCAGTAGTTGTGCCACCCGCGAATGTCTTCATCTTTGTCAAAGTAAACTAAATGACTGACTGTCGGAATATCTTGGATAAAATTATTGAGTTTGCGATCCATAGGCATTCCTGAGCAGTCACAGCATGAATTGACAGTGCTGTGAAAGTGGTGACGTCGCTTGACTCGTAAATATCCAAGTTTTTCTGCCCAGGGTTCCAGCCAGCCTGAAAGTATGTGTGATCAGCAGGACGAGGCTGGCTGAACACCACACGCTAGCTATCATCGTAGGCCATTCACTATGCTACGTAGGGTCGCAAAGGTAGCACTAAGAGTATCGGAATCTGTGATTGTATGACGATCTGGACAATCTCCTGCCTGTGATTTGTCAGGGTTCAATGTTCAGCTTTCTCCCCTCCCATCCGCAAAAGCCTGTGATTTGTGCCTCAGCTGCAGTTTTCCAAAAGCGTACAGAGGATCTACGCACATATTGGTAACAGGAGATGAGGTGTAAACCCCCCTCGTAATTTTGAGCCTGACCTGTTATTGAACTTCCCTGCTGGGAGTTTGTTAAAAGGTTGTAAACCCCGCTGTGGTGTCTGGAGACAATGGGCAATTCCTTTTCCTAAAACCACTCTTTTCCAACCACGTTGATTGTCCTTTAACTAGGATTGACTGCCATGGCCACAGAAACGATCATCCAGGACTTCATTGCCAATAAAGTACCAGTGTTTCGAGTGGGAGAGGTGGAATATGAGCGTTCCGTTGCGACGGCCAATCTCCTGTACCGGTTCACTCGACCGGATTGTGTCGTCCAACCTGAGGGCGCCGGCCATGTTCAGTTTATTGTCACACGGGCGAAGGCTCGGGGTGTGTCTCTCACTATTAAGAATGGCGGTCACTCTTACGCTGGATTCTCCAGCACCGACACCGGAATCATGTTGGACTTGGTCCGCATGAAGAAGGTGGAGATCGATCGGACAGCAATGATGGCCACCCTGCAAGGTGGCTGCCAATGGGGCCACGCATACAAACAACTAGTTAATGAGCGTATGAATGGAGCGATCATCAACGGTGGACGCTGTCCCACTGTGGGTGTGAGCGGCTTCACCTTGGGGGGTGGTCTTGGCCCGTTCACCCGCCGTTTCGGCATGGGATGTGACACCCTGAAGGAGGCGACAATTGTCACTGCGGACGGTAAATTAGTGACGGTGAGAGACAGCGATGACCCTAAGTCAGACAAGGGCAGGCTCTTCTGGGCGCTGTGCGGTGCCGGAGGCGGCAATTTCGGAGTGGTGGTCGAGTTGAAGCTCAAAATCCAAGAGTTGGGGAACAGCAAAGGGGAAGTGGTCGCAGGCCGTTTCACCTGGATGCCCAAGACGGACGAGATGGATGGCTTCATGCAAGCAATGCTCCGCTTTTACACAACGAACTGGCCAGACCAAATGACCCTGGATACCTCCTGGCTCTGCGATCTAAAAGGAACCTCAAGCGAACTGAGCGTTCGGGTTCTGTCCTATTTCGATGGTAGCAAGGACGACTTCGACAATGTGATTGACAGATTTGTGGAGCAACCAGAACTCAAAAAGCAACTGAAACGACGATCCATGGCGGAACCATCCACCCGCTTCCTCCATGAGACTCTCGTGAGCCAGTGGTCTGAAGAAACCGTGAAGTCTTTCCCGACCAACCGTTCCTACCAGATCTACACTTCGTTCGTGTTCAAGAGCGACCGAAGCCGAATGAAGGCTGTTACCGAGGCCATCCGCAAAGAGATGCAGGCCTTCCGCCGTCTATTCAAGGGGGAACAGGGCCTGCTACAAGTGACTTGGATTCATTCCGGCGGAGAGGCCAGTAGGAAAAAACGCTCGGCGACCGCGTTCCGCTGGCGTGATTGCACCTACCACGTTTACATCATGTTACAGTGGGAGGATAAGTGGCTGGAGCGCGACATGTGGGGTTTCCTTGGACAGTTCAAAAAGGAACTGCAGCCCTACTCGATGATGGGACGGGCCGCATTCATCAATTTTCCTGATCGGACTCTCACCACCGCCGCCCACGAGAAGGTCTACTATGGAAACAATCGTCAGGAGCTACAGCGAATCAAGCAAATCTGGGATCCAGATAATTTCTTCGATTGGGGTCAGGGTATTCAGTCTCCGACATCTACCCGACAGAACGTGGAGTTTCAGTCCCGGATCCTTCCCATATCGCTCAGCGGTGAGACGGCTGCTGCAGATGAGGAGGAAGAGGGAGGGGAAGAAGTTTCATTAGATGAGAAAGATCTGACCGATAAGATTGCTGGACCGCAGTGGAAGGACGTTGCCCTCCCTCAAAACGCCGTGGGAGGGAGCGGGGTTTTTGCCTTGACGGACTTGGGATTCTAAGCTCCGTTCATTCTGCCTTTGAGATTTTGGAAAAATGTGGAAGCTGAAAGGAAACAATAGCTCATAGTGACAAGCAACCTCGAATTCAATGCGTGAAAAGGAACGTCCCCTGATTTCCTTTACCTTCCCAGTCCCCTTCCATCACACTGCCATCTTCGTCTAGCTCCCCTCGATAGATCCACGAATGTCGCGCATACTGCTTGACGAAAATCACCTGGTGGGCGGGAAACACCATCCCCCTGATCCAATACGCACCGGCATTGTCCGTTCCCTTTCCTACAATGGCCACCTGTTCGGACTTTTTCCCGGGGGAGGCGGTCAAATCGAACTCAGACGACCAACGGGTGTCTTCGTTGGTTCCGCTGTATGTTCCTTTCCATCGACCATTGATCCGCTGAATTCTCTCCCTATCCCATCTGTTAGCACTCGCAACTGCTTACCTAAACAGACGCGTCAGCAGCTTACCTCGCGGATACCACCTCCTCATCAATTACCTGATGAAAGACAAAGAACCCCATCGGTCCATTGCGAACATCCCCCCATGACCCATGGACCACACTCAACGCTCGATCCAATTTTCCAGAGTACACCCATCCATGTGTGCTGTAGTTCTTTTGTAAATTCATCGAATCATCTGAGTCGAGCGTTCCTGCGATTGTGAACGAGCCAGCATCATCAGTACCTTGTCCCTTAATGCGGGCCCGGGTGGAGTCGATCGGGTCTCTTTCAAACGAGAGAACGAAGTCAGATTCGCCGTTGGCAGTTCCGTCTGAATTGTCCACCGTGTAGACGCCGGCCCATTGGCCATTGAGGGATCTAGATAGAGATTGTTTGAGCTTTCTTCGCCTTCAAAGGTAGTTTACTCTTATAGGAGATAGTAGAATAGACTCACTGGGACTTGATAGACATTCCGGTTAGTTGAGACGGCAGAATTCTTTGTACCTGTTAGTATTGCAGTTTCCTTCGAGCGAGCTCATGGAACTACTATATATATGTCGTCCATGGCTCACGCACTAACCTAGGGGGGAATATCCCTCACCTTCAAACACTAAATCCAACCCCCCTGGCGAATAAGACCAGCGGTGACGTGTTCAAGCAGGCAGATAGATCAGCTGACTTGACCCCAGTGAAGATCCTGTCTCACCGTCTGGATCTGTGCTGTTTCATATAAGCATTGAACTGACTCGATTCCGGAAGTGTGATACCGCGGTCAGCCACTTCGTATCGGTTCCAAGTCTTGCGACGTTCAAAATGTGAGGCATCCAGTTGCACAGCTGGCAAGATTTTGAATGCTCACAGGGAACATTTCGGCCTTTGATACACATTCTCGTGAATGATAAGTAGACTGATTACCGGCGCCTCTGCGAAAGCCCAAGTATACTGCGCCACACACAAGCCAAGAACACTGAAATTCTAGGGTGTAAACTAAGAAATATGAATGGCGTGGAATGGCTGACTGAAGGGAAATAGAAGGCTTAGAGAAATCTGGAAAGCACCCTTGGAAGCTTACAAGAGAGTGGTGATGGGGATAAAAAGTATAAGCGCTAGTAGTGATGAGGAATAAGACCATGAAGGTAAGTAGCACAGGAGAGAGGATGTCAATTCCCAAGAGGCTCTTGGATAGATAAGAGAGCTAAGTAGAATGTGAGGGATGCTTCGATGGCTATTACTAACAGTACCGTTTCTTCAGCATCAACAGAAACATCAACCTCGAAACCTGGAATGCTACGGTTGTTACCGAAACTTTAAATCATTTTCTGGGATTCAATCCATCTGGAGTCTGGAAATTGCAACAGATCTGCTTATGTTACCGGACGACAAGCCGGTGTAAAACTGGTGTATTTGCCTCCCTATTCTCCTGACTTGAATCCTATTGAGGAGTTCTTTGCTGAGCTCAAGGCCTTTATCCGGCGGAATTGGCAGTTCTACGAAGAAAACCCCAAGCAAGGATTCGATAACTTCCTTGAATGGTGTGTTGATGTCGTTGGTGCAAGGAGGAAAAGCACAGCGGGGCACTTCCAACACGTAGGCTTGATCATACAGGAGATGTAACACACCTATTACGGCGAAATCCGAACCTTATCCCCACGGTTGACTCGAACACATTCCTCCGTGGGTTTTAGTCTAAGCCGTGCTTTATTTTGTATTTGGTCAGTATCCATAGAAATCCGGAGCGTAAATGCTAATATATACTGTATCATCACACCAACTAGTACTATAAGTTTAATGTGGCAGTTTGTGACTAACACACGGGATAGGTTGGTCGCTTCCTGTTAAGTGCTCCTCTTCGCTCCGCCCAAGTCATTGGGTCAACCCGGACCTAAGATGGCGAAGACCACGAACTGGGAACGGCTTTATCCGTTATGCTCCTTTGTCTTCCATGTCGTCGCAACTTCATCACAATCCTTCATGATCTCATTCCACTGCATTCGACTCCACCGCTCCGGCCTTTCGACTGCGTCCACAAAATGTTTCATTGCAAGCACCATCTGCACCGACCAACGCTCCTTGCTAACCTTCCCAATACCAGCAGCCAGGGGTGGCATCAAGAGATGATTAATTTTCTCTTCAGAAGCCCGATTATGCCCCTCGACCGCACATAACAAACTCCAGACACTCTCATAGACAACCTCCCGGTCCCAGGCGACATTCATCGGCTCCCGCATAGTAGGACAGATAGCCACCCAGGCACAGCGCCGCGAATTCTGCTCCAGCGGGACGGGAAACTGCACAAGCGTGCATGTGCCGGGCGGGGCGAATCCTCGCCATTTCTCGTATAGCTCCAGCTGCACTGCGCGCATTAAGGCTTCGTAGTCATCGCGTGGGCTGAAAGCTAATGAGATGGCGTCGTCGAAGCCCCCATCTAGACGGCCATACGAGTTTGCAGGTGAGACAATCAGGTCGAAGGTTACTGAGGGGTCAAGCCGGTTCAGGCGCGAGTTAACCGGGGTGATCGTGAGCTTTGATGGTAACTCGGGCCAGTGCTCTTGCTGCGCTGTTTTGAAGGCGGTGATGAAGTCTGCGTCCTGGCAGAGCAGGATGATCTCCGGGATGTTGGCAGTCATATTGTTGTAGTGTTGACAAATAATGATACGGTTTAACTGGCGAGTGACTGAGTTGTTTACGTAAATCTCGAACCTCATCGACACAGCAAAGATCCATGCAAACAGAACAAACACGATGGGAGTTCTGGCCTGAGAAGAGGAAGAACTTATGCTGAGGGCCCGCCGAGCTGTATACACGATTTAATTTAGGCGCGTCACAATCAACAACCCGGTTGTGGCTAAGGACACGGATGAAGACCTCGTTCTGGCCCCCAGTTCCCATTGGAAAAGCTGTTCCTTGGGGATAGGCTGGAAAACATCCTTTCGACGAAAGGTTTCACAATATACTCGGCGAACTTTTCTAGAGCTTCGTGGAGATTGTTCGTTTGTTCAAGTTCCCATGAAAGAAAATGGTCCAAGTACGATAAGGCGCGAGCAATGTCGGAATCAACCGCGGGTCCCTCTTTCTAACACAAATCCTCGTAGACGTATAAGAAGGAAGGTAGAGATGTACAGTACCTGGAGACGCAACGAGTTCGAGAGTAGCCTGCTTGAGTGCCCTAGGCTTATACCCTTTCCGAACGGGTTTTTCGGGCCATAATGCCGCCGTGGCCTGTTCTCTATTCATTGTAACATATCTAGACTGAATTACTACTATTTTCGTTGCTTTGTTGATGTTATCCCTGAAAGTCTCGTTGCTCACTCGCGACCGTTGCCATTCGGTATATTCCTCCACAGCGACATCAAGCAGCCCGTGAACCATGATTGATTCAGCATAGCCCGGCTTAGCAGGTATAGCGTCATTAGCAGGAGGAGGCATCGATTGTTGAGATGATCCAGCCTGGAGGACATTGATATTGACTGGAGGACACGGCGAACCGATTGTCGAATTATCCGAATTATCCGTGGGTTTTTTCTGCTTATCGAGTCGCTGGTTCTCCTCAGCATATAGCTGATCACGAAGGCTATCGGGTATATCATCATGGGAATCAAAGTCTCCTCCTTGGTTCTGAGACCGTATTGACGACGGTCGTGCCATTCCAGTCCACATCAAGAGAAACTCGATCGAAGACTTCGGCAGCGTAGCTCTTCATGAATACCTAGCAGACATCGGGGATTGGATATACCGTATGGATCGACTCCGCAGCCTGTTTATTGCTGAGGATGTACTGCACAAGTGTTCCATCTGCATACCCTCGTTTCTCGATAGCCTCTAACGGTGAGACGAAGCAGCTGTAACGAGCGCTCCCAGACCCTCCTCTTGACCGGGTGTCCCAAATTCCGGGCCGATAGGCTTCAAATGAACTCTCACTCAGATCTGCTAACTGGATAAGCCTTAGCCGGAGCCCAGTTTTCTTCTTGACTAAGTGGATGAACTTCTTGCCTGTTAATTGCGTCGCTTCCCCTTACAAGATGGATTGGCAACCCAGCGTTAAAGAGGCCGACCAGACTGTCCACCATTTCATTGAAGTCACCAGCTGCCTCTAGGATTGATTTCGCTCTCAGTAACTGCCGCATGATGTTATTCTTATATGCGCTGTGGATAAGCGCATTATATGGCATATGGCTGTTTGCCTCACAAAGCTGGAATCTAACTACATCACTGCTGTCATCTGTCAAAAGGAATCTGGCCTCCAAATGCTGAGGTAGTCTCTAAATTCAGATATTTGCTTCAGGTGGCTCCGCTCATCAATCCACTGCATCGCCTGTTATCCAATAGTTCTGAGAGTGACAAGATGTAATATTACTTACCTATAAATCCGCCTCCACAGGATGTTCCAAAGGCATCCTGTCTGGACGTTAGAGGGTGCTTTTTCCACCATTTATCCACGATATTCACCACAGCTCTAACTAGAGCGTCGTGGAAAAATTTCAGCTGGAGAACAAAACTTCGGTCAGTCAATATTGGATGAGGCGAAAGGGTCTCCAGGCTACAATCACATCCAGGCTGCAGTGTTGAATTGGAATGTCGCCTGATAGACTTTTCTATCCTGATCTCGATCTGCCTCTTTGGCCAGCATCACTGACAACGGTTGTCCTATATTGTCTGTGGCTGACAAGCAAATCTGCAGATGTTGAGGAGCCTGGTAAATGCTTTCCATATTTACGGTATTGCGGTAAATGCGTGAAGATATAACATGATTTTATGAAGCCGACGTGTGTTTTAGGGTGATGAAAGATACAGGTTATAACCTTAAGAAAGCTGTAAGGATGGGTCAAGTCATAGGGCGAAATCAAAGCTTTTATTTCTGTCCCCCCTCAGTTGATTTTGATTGTAGATTGAGATAAGACCAGTATGGGGGCTCGTCGTTGTAAATTTCTACAAAATTGCTAACCCCCTTACCAAAAACTGTATAGCAGCCAATTTTAAGGATTTGAATACACTGGCATTAAAATTGACCTCCCTGGTGGATAGAGGTTACATTGTGGTAACTTTAACAATAGCATTAGGTGCTTAGCTGTATGTTGGGACTTCCCTCAACCAAAGTTGAAAAGCAACCTGAATGACGATTGGCTATTGGCGAACGTAGCACATCTAGGCCTCCATTGAACATTGTCGTTGATGTCATGAAGTAATTACCAAATGCGTTGCTATCCGGATCCGGTAAGGAAACACGCTCCAAAAACTCATTCCATGTATAAGACAACCCGTCATTTATTGCCAGGTTACAAATGCAACCATTGAAAAAAAATTACAGGATAAGAACGAAACACAATAATAAACTTCACGTCTGCTGATTGTGTTTCTGGTAAGCGATCTTCGCTGTGTAACTGAAAGTAGGAAGCATTGGTCAGCTATCTCATACGCCGCATGTCTGTCTGTCTACAGGCGACTAGGAAAGCGGGTATGGAAGTTCTCGCAGCAGGTGCATTTCGTAATGCTAGAGTGTCTGATCAGGATACCTATGTCTCTGCGCTGTTAAGCAACACTGGAGTGGCACAGATATGTCCCAAATTGTTCCCCGGTAGCAATCAACAGCCCCGAATGTTTCCTTGAGGTAGCCCTGGGCCTGTCGAACTCGGAGCACTTGGACGTTCAGTGTCTGGTTAGTCAATACCAGTTCCCGTTTGACCTCAAGTCCTTCCCATCATTCAGCATCAGAGGCTCATCCAATAGCACTTTTGCTTTTGTCGATAAGCGATCCAACCGCTGAGAGGTCTGGGGACGGCGATTGAAGATTCGCATTTGTCATGGTCGACTACTGCGACTGGACTTTGAGCTCCAACCAAAGAATCCAAAACGTCATTCAAGCATGAGTCTGGTTCAGCCGACGTAATGTACGTATAACAGGTGAGCGCCGCCCACGAAGAGCCAATCTCTCAAATCACTCTCTTCCTCTTCTCATTAAATACCGCGCAAAGCAATGACATATGCTTGAAACACATCTATCATCAATTTATTCACGATGGCCAGTAACAAAGTTGCCTTCATTAAACATCAGGCTCCAGAGTTCGATGCGATACTGGGCCCCAATCCCCCAGAACCACAAGTTTCGATACTCGCAGACGAGGGTCCTGCCGGTTTGCATCTTTATCATGAAGCTTGCGTCTATCACCAACCGACGCGTAGCATCTTTGTGACCTCGGACCAGATGACAAATCTTAAGCATATCAAGCTCTCCCGAGTATATGATACGTATCAAGGTTCTTCCACAGAATCAAATGCTGCCAAAGTCGAGCGCATCACGTTTCCACATATTGACGGTGCCATGCTGAATGGCGGCGTTAATTTCGGTCGTGATCACATTCTCTTCTGTGCTCAGGGATCAAAAATCCCGAGTGATCCTTCGGGTATCATCAAGGTCGCGGTTCCACCTGAGGGTAGTAGTGACACTACATCAGAGGCCATGATCAGCTCTTTCTATGGGATTTCATTCAATTCACCTAATGACGTGGTTGTACATCCGGACTCCTCCATCTGGTTTACAGATCCTCAGTATGGATTCTACCAGGGCATTAGGCCTGCACCAGAGCTGCCCAATCAAGTCTATCGTTATGATCCTAGTAGTGGATCCATTCGGGTTGTTGCAGAAGGCTTTGTACGGCCAAACGGTCTCTGCTTTTCACCTAACTTCAACACGGTATATATAACAGACACAGGTGCAGACCCTGGCTCACCCCCATTCGATCCGGCGGGCCCTTCGCATATCTATGCATTTGATATTGTCCTCCCTGAAGGGCAGACTGAACCGCAGTTGGTAAACCGTCGTGTATTCGCGTATGCCCCTGGAAAAATGCCAGATGGAATCAAATGTGATACCCATGGCAATGTCTACGCTGGATGCGGGGATGGGATTGAAGTGTGGAATCCTAGTGGTGTTCTTATCGGCACGATTCAAATTCCAGGTGGAGTAAGTAATTTCTCCTTTGGGGAGAAAGGAGTCATATATGTTTGTAATGGGACCAAATTACTCAGAATACATTTACGAGGAAGAGATGTCAAAGGGGCTCTTTTAGGTATATGAGATGAACAAGCAATAATATGAGGCGTCCGGTTGTTTTCTTTCAACTCCACTTCCGGGGACCATTGGTGCTCCCTTGCAGCCTTACATCTTGAGCCTGGCGAAGCCCATCGCTTTCGCATCATTGGCCGCACAGCGCTATAATCTGTCTAATAGTATAGGACGGCCATGATATGGTGATTATGGAAGTAGATGCGGTTCGCACTCAGCCAGATTGTCCGTCCAGTGGATCGTATGCTTTAGAGTGACTATTCAGGAACAACAACTCCGAACGAGTCGTTCCTCAAAATATAGACTCAAACTGTATAACCCCACACAGAGTTGCCCAATACCCCCTCCCTGATAAAATTAATCTCTTTGTATTTGAAGAATAAAGTTGGTAATGCTTATCGGCCAACTTATGCCTACTTTAGCCTGTTCTCCACTCAACTTATCCCGGCATTTTAACCGACCCCAAAAAGTGCCAGCTTCCCCCCCCGCAGCTTTTAGTCCTGCGACATTCCGCGACTCTCCCGGAAGTAGGCGACATATGCGTCCGAGATCATCAACACATGGCACAAAACCCAGCATTTGTGATGGAATCCTCCTCTACTGATACTCCATCCAACCTCCCCAGCCCATCCACAGCCGGCGACATACGGCGGACCCCACGCGGAGCCGCGGCATACCCCCGCAAAAGGGCGATCACAGCATGCCAGGTCTGCCGTGCGCGGCGCACCAAATGCGACAATCGGAAGCCCTCATGCTCCTTTTGTCTCAAGGTTGGCGCTCAGTGCATCCAATCCGCCGTCGATTTATCCAGATTCGATCCCGCGAGTATCAAGATCTTGGAGCAGCTAAGCGAGCTTAAAGATGCGATGGGGAAGTGTCAGTCTGCTATTGAAAACTTAGGAAACTTGGAGGTACATGCTGGGCGGTCTAAATCGGTTGCTATAAACTGCTCTCCAGGCGAGACAGTTTCTGACGTAGACCGGACTCGACTGTTGCCTCCGTCTATTGAGGCTATTTGCCAGTGGCCGATTCTTGATCTAACCCCAGTTCCCCCGCGCGGGGAGGGTCTAGCCTCGACCTCAACCGACACAGACACCGGGAAGGGCTTATCACCCGATAACCTGGAAATACGACTCACTCGACCGCTACTCGATCGGTTTTTCCAATACGTGCACGTCAAAAATCCTGTGCTCGACGAAACATATACGCGCCGGTTAGTCGCCTATTTTTGCGTTGAGGGGCTAGACTGGTCCCCAGAATCATGTCTTGCCCTTCTTGTTCTCGCCCTTGGGGCAACCGCTACCCCATTTGAGGGCCCCGACCAACCCGGAAAGGACTCGGCATCCATCGTCAGTGCCCGCTCCTTCTACAAAGCCGCACAGAAGCGACTAGCCCTGACGGTGGACGGCCCAGATAGGGTGCTGGAAGCACAATGCTATTTCCTGTCCGGTGTATACGCAGCTACCGTCTTCCAACTAGACACCGCCTGGAAACTCTTCCTCCATGCCCTTGCATGCTGTCAAACCTTCCAATTCCAGTCCACCCCCTCCTCACCCGACACCCAGGTCTTCGATCCGGTGCACAGCGAGCGCACCCGCGGCCGGCGAACTCTAAGCCGAGAACAAACAATCTACTGGTCCTCCTGGAAATCCGAACGTGAACTCCGCAGCCAATTGCCCGTCCCCGATTTCGCCCTCTCGCAAACAGAAATGGTCACATACCCACATTTCTTCCCTACACCCCCCGTAAACGAGGATGTCGAATTCCCCGACCCGAGCGAAAGCCTCCACGTCCGCGAGGAACAATCATGGTACTTCTACCTATCTGAAATCTCCCTCCGCCGCTTAGCATCCTGCATCGCCAAGGGAATCGTGCAGTTCTACCCCACACTACCCGAAGAGCATTTCCTCGACGGATTAGCTACAGCAACCCGTATCCACGAATCTCAAGCGGAGGAGTGGGCTATCCGGCTGCCACGGGTTTTATCCCTTGACCAGCCGCCAGAAACGGATGATATCTGCCGGTTTGTCCTTCGTGGCCACCTGCTCAATCTGTACGAAAGTATCTACTGGCCCTTCATTGACGCGCTGATTAGCGGGTTTCCGATGGATGGGGAGAGAGTATTACTGCGGAGCCTTGTGCTGAAGGGATTACAGAAGCATGCTGAGAGGCTGTGGGTTAACCACGCCGGCTATAAGCATCGGCACCACGGGACACTGTTTCTGCTTCGGAATTGTAGTCGGAGTGCGCTGGTACTCGTGGCTGCCGCGTTGGCGATTCAGAGGCAGTTGGACAAAGAGGGGCAGTGCGGGGTCACGATGCCTTTGGGGTGGAGGGAAGCCGTGCTTTTAGCGGTGGAGATGAATCGGTATTGGGCAGGCGAGTCGGCCGATGCGGCATACCTTGGGAGGGTTGTTGAGGCTGCTTGGGGGAGGGTTGAAGGGGTCGATATCTAGCGGGAACCTCCTTTTTTTGCTTATCCTTTACAGGTCTTAAACTAAGAATTTCTATACCCTACACCATAGTAAGCGCTGCTTAGGATTCTCTTAGTCTAGTTTAGATCACGGGTTTGTGATCTCCCGCACACCAACATGCTATTAACTTCTAACTAATACCAGTAGATAGAGCTCTTTACACTGATTCCAGTAATATAATCTTTATTCAATTTAATTACTGTGGTACAGAGTTAGAGACAATTCAGTTGACGTAAATCGAAGTCTAAATAGCTTTAACATAGTTAGGATATACTAATCTAATTGGAAGAACTTTTAGTTATATGTTTAGCCAGTCTATTGTTTTCTTTTTTAATTATAGATCTATCTTACAGTACTTATCAAGAGAGTAACTTATTCCATTCTAATCAATATAATCTGACCTGATACCGGCTAGGTTCTTCATTCATTTAGTGGGAAAGCAAAAACCGCAAAATCTGATAGGATAGTTGCACCCATAGCCTAAATGGCATTTCTCCTTTCACGTCCCACTCACCAGTACCGCGCAATCGTGTCTGCGTGGAATGCACTCTTAAGTTTCCTGACGAAAGCTTCTGCTAGTCTCTGAGACATCACGTGGTTAATCACTTACCTTGGCAGCCCTAGATTTTACCCCATCGCTAGCCCTTGGCCATAAATCATTGGATACTAGTGAGCACTAACAGAGTTAAGTTACCTTAGCAAGCCGCGGAGTGTCGCAGACCCAGCCAAGTGGACAAGATTCTCACTACCCTAGTATGGCCTGATCTGGGCTTCGCGGAGTGTCGGAGATCCAGCCAAATGGCTAAGCCGATTCTCTCACTACCTTAGTGTGGCCTGAATCTGGGCTTTAGCGGTGTCTAGCGTCCCAGTAGTTAGACTCGTCTGGGGAGTTCTCCGCAAATATATCAGTACCCCGGATGGCCGATCATTAGGATATACAAGCGACACTGATGAGCAAAGGCGTCGCTACCCATTCCTCTCTACGTCTATCATTTGATTACTCTATTACAATGTCCGACGCAATGGGAGGAAAGCTCTCTGCAGACGCTGCCAAACAGGAGACTTCGGTCAGCCACAAAGAACACATAAATGCGGTTCATTCAGTCGAAGATTCCGTGACATTCTCTTATGTTGTGAAGCACCATAAGGCAATTATCGCATGGTCTTTTTATTGGGCCATGTGTGCGATCGGTTGGTAGGTTCTTTACCACCTGCTTCTCCCCGATAAACAATTGAAAAGCCACCAACACTTATACGCTATATACAGGGGATTCGATGCTCAAATCAACGGCGCAGTAATCTCAGTCCCTGCCTTTCGGCGCGAATACGGATACGTCTTGGATGGGGAAGCGATCCTCCCTGCGAACTGGCAGTCCGCGTTCAATGTTGCCAGCTCGATTGGCCAATTTTTTGGTGGATTTCTCTGCAGTTGGATGGCAGATAGGGTTGGGCGCAAGCGCTCTCTTCTCTGCGCTTGTATCATCTGCATTGGAGGCACCTTAGGTGAAATCTTTTCGCACGCCCGCGGCGCCTTCCTCGTGTCGAAGCTCATTCTTGGGGTTGGCTTGGGACTCTATCTGACGCTTGGGCCGCTCACTTGCAGTGAAATTACACCTGTGGTGCTGCGTGGCTTATCGACTGCTGGTGTCAACTTGGGTATTTGCGTTGGTCAGCTCCTGTCTAATGCAGTCATTAAGGGGTTTGGTGAGCGGGAGAATCGTTGGGCATTCGCTGGGCCGTTTGCAATGCAGCTGTTCTTCTCGGTGGTGCTGCTTGCTGGACTTCCCTTTGCTCCGGAATCTCCCTGGTATCTAGTTCGAAAGAACCGCATGGACCAGGCTCGGAAGTCGCTCCATAAGCTATGGGGGAAGGACTTTGACGTCTCTGCTCTACTAACCACAATCCAGGTATCCGTCGAAGAGAGCGCACAGCAAGCAAAGGCCAGTTACATCGACTGCTTTCGCGGTACAAATCTACTCCGCAGCGCCATTTCCTGTGGTGGATTTGTCTGCCAACATCTCGTCGGGATCATCTTCGTCTTGGGTTACTCAACGTACTTCTTCGAACTCGCCGGGCTGGAGACAACGCACTCCTTCGATCTAGGTGTTGGCGTCACAGCTTGCGGTGTTTTTGGCAACTTCCTCAGCTGGTTCTGCGTCAATTCTTTCGGCCGTCGGAAATTGTTCCTCTCTGGAATGGCAACTCTCACCGCTCTGCTCCTTCTCATCGGCATCATGGACGTCGTCCCCTCCAACGCAGCGAAATGGGTCCAAGCATCCTTCACAGTTATCTACGCTTTTGTATACTTTATGACTGTTGGGGCCGTCTCGTTTGTCCTGTTAGGCGAGGTCTCGACCCCTTTGCTGCGCGCGAAGACCACAGCTTTGGCTACAGCCGTACAGGCAGTTTTCGGCATCGCGATGAATGTTGCTGTTCCGTATATGGTTAATCCCGATGAGGCTAATATGAAAGGCAAGGTAGGGTTTGTGTTTGGTGGCTGTGCGACGGTTGCTACGATTGTGAGCTGGGTGTATATCCCGGAGCTCAAGGGTCGGACTTTTGAGGAGATCGATATCATGTTCTCTACTCGGGTTCCGCCGAGGCACATGGGCTCGTACCAGATTGGTTGAAGTGACAAGGTTCGAAATGTAGTCTCAGGTTATCCTGTTGCAAGGCGCTCTGCTCTGGGACAAGGGTGTCGGTGCGTGTGGATGTCTGTCTGTTCAGAGTTCGAAGTCGGTAGCATCTACACATGCAAAGTGCGTATGGCTCAAGATCCTGAAGCTCTTGCAGAATAAATTTAGGATGTAATAAGTACATGATATAGTAAAATGGTACGAGAAAAGAGTAATCTATACGAGATCCATACCTCAGACAACTCTAGGAATGGGCGAGGTTAGTCAGCCAACCAAGAACAAACAGATAGCGCATCATATCAAGCCAATGACATATGGTCGATAGGTCTTCCAACTTTGTAGAGCACATATGCTACATGTGGCGGAGTTGTTACAGTTAGAACGGGGTAAACGGTGCTAACAATTGAGGCTCAATTTTGAGGAACGACTCGTTCGAGTTGTTGTTCCTAAATAGTCACTCTGAAGGTTACGATCCACCGAACGGACAACCTCTTTTAGCGGGTTGGATTGCCCCAAACCTCCAGACCTGGGGAAGTGGGCTATGTCGGCCCTTGTCGCGGAGTGTCGGATAAGTTGACGCCACCTCCTCTCGGCGCACGCCTTTAGTAACTTTAACACTCGATAATTGTACTCTGGAATATTTACACCGTAGTTTACATTCGGTAGTCTGATCCGACCTCGGGCGAGAAGGTTACTACTGTGGTGGAGTCTCTGACCCGTCGGGGAGTGTCGGGAAGTAGCTCAATTGTATGGCGAACGAGCAAGTGGATGTATTATGGGACGATCACATATAAGATCACGATGTTTATTGCTAAGATTTCTCGCTGATATCTTCATGGGATAGTTCCTCGTATGCTCGTCTTAGCTAGTCGAGTAATCTCTATCCCTAGCCAAGTCAGAAAATACTCTCGCCGGCCATCATGGGCTCATACGCAAATCAAGATTCCTTCCTGCGTGTGTCTGGTACAGACATAGTCGACGGCCATGGCCGGCCAGTCATCCTCAAAGGTGCCGCAATTGGAGGCTTCCTTAACATGGAGAACTTCATCACCGGATACCCAGGCCACGAGCATGAACACCGCGCGTCGATGGCATCTGTCCTAGGGAAAGAAAAAGCACAATACTTCTTCGACCGACTGATACACCATTTCTTCACCGAAGAAGATGCCGAATTCTTCGCATCGTTGGGTCTGAATTGCATCCGGGTCCCCTTCAACTACAGACACTTCATTGACGACCAGGAAAATCCACCGGTCTTCAAGCAAGCTGGCTTCGACATGCTCGACAGGGTGGTGGGAATCTGTCGAAAATATAACCTCTACGTCATACTTGACCTTCATGCCGTCCCAGGCGGCCAGAACCAAGACTGGCATTGCGATAGTGGTCTCTCGCGCGCGATGTTCTGGGACTTCAAAGTCTTTCAAGATCAAGTGATTGACCTTTGGGTTGCTATTGCGAAACACTATGCCCATGATCCCATTGTCGCGGGATACAACCCTCTCAATGAACCCGCCGATCCAGCACACGTTCGACTCCTAGACTGGTACGGCCGCGTTCATGCCGCCATCCACGCCGTTGATCCGAACCACATTCTCTTTCTCGACGGAAACACCTACTCGATGGATTTCTCTCACTTCGACAGTATTCTCCCCAACGTGGTTTACTCCTGTCACGACTATGCAACGATGGGCTTCCCTATCCCCGGGCAGCCATTGTACACTGGCACAGCGGAGCAAAAAGCAAAATTGAAGTCCCAGTTCAATCGAAAAGTCCAGTTCATGCGTGACTGGAACGTCCCCATCTGGAACGGCGAGTTTGGTCCCGTCTACCCGGATCCGCAGAGGGGCGAGAATGCGCAAGAAGTCCTGCAGTCCCGCGTTGAGCTTCTCCGTGAGCAGCTACGGATTTATGCGGACTCCAATGTCAGCTGGAGTATTTGGCTATACAAGGATATCGGGTATCAGGGGATGGTTTACGTCAATCCGGACACGCCGTATATGAAACTTATTGGCGAGTTCGTGGAGAAGAAGCAGCGCCTTGGTGTGGATTTCTGGGGGTGCACTGATAAGACGGGTGTAAGACATGTGTATGAGCCGTTTATTGCGAAGCTGAAGGAGATGATTCCCGTGCATCTTCATAAGAAGAAATATCCGCCGGTATGGACGTTTGATCGCCAGGTGGAGCGGGTGGTTAGAGAGTGTCTGGTCAGCGAATATCTCACCTGGGAGTTTGCGGAGCTGTTTGAGGGAAAGACCAAGGATGAGCTGGAAGAGTTGGCTGCTTCATTTGCATTGAAAAACTGTGTGCAAAGGCAGGAGCTAAACCTGGTGCTAACTCAAGACGCTTATAAAGTGAAAGCGCGATAAAATGGATTATAAAAGAAAACAGAAGGGCTCAGAAGGGCCGGGTGGTCAAAGTCGATGACAGTTAAATACCATGCATAGAAGAACATTCATGAACGATTGCTTGCTGTTATGTCATAATACGCCTTGCGGTCATACTCTTAAGCCCTCTCACGCTCAGCTGGTAACAGATACTGGGCTGATAATTTCGGTTGATAGGCCAATTAAGTGGAGAGCACCGCCTTGCGTCTCCAAAGGATGTATCTGAATCAAAAAAAATCGATTTCTAAGCTACGGTTTAAAGCTAACGCAGTTGGATATCTTTATCTGAGGCAGGGTTCAAGACCCCAGCTTGGAGGCGTCGACCTAAACCCAGCCCTCCAACAAGATCTCACAAATCACCTAGGTGCCGGAGGCAACTATTATAAGCATCGCGAGCCATGCCTTCTACTTCCCCTCGATCTGAGCCACCTGGCACGCATCTGGCTTGGACTTGGTCAGGGAAGCACCGCTCCCTCTTCGAGAAGATAAGACGCCCTTCTCCGCGTCCATCACGCTGTTTGTCCGTTTCCCTGTCTGAATTAGGTCGGGGTTTTCCGCTTTGAGTTTGGCAAAGTTTTTCTCTGCCTCCCAGTTCCAGATGCTATCACTAGCAAAAACAAGGTCCATCTCTTCCAGCGTCCTTTGACTCGATTCAGGATACAGCGCCCACACGATGAGGATACTGAGGAAGTTCACTCCGCCGAAGATGTACAGAGTCTTCTCGTTGAGTCGCTCAAAAATGGTCGGAAGGAGAAGTACCTGTTCGTAGAGGCTGTAAGTACGGTGCGCCGGTAATCAACAACTGCGCACTCGGGGGCATGCTTACCGTCCAACCATTACCGATCGACCATCCCACGACCCCCCATGCATTACCGCGAGCACGGACCTGCAGGGGGAAGATCTCGGCAGGGTACAACCAAGGCACAGTCAACCAAGTGGCACCAAAGATCATGGTGTAGAGAAACACAAAGAAGGTGGCCGCACCACCGACAGCCCCACGGGAACTTGGGCTGGCCTCCATKGTCGCACGGGCAAGGCCTCCAGCGAGGAACATGCAAATACCCTGCCCAACCGCACCCCAGTAGAGGGTCCAGCGCCGACCGATCCGGTCCAGGGTGAAGACACAGATCAAGGTGGCGAACTGCAAAGAGAGTAGTTAGCCGGACAAATTCACATCAACAAACACGGCGTGGACATGGACAGGCGTACCATATATGTGATATCGTTCAAGCCGGTCACCCAAAGGCGGTCACCAGCCGAAATGCCAGCGATTTCAAATATCTTAGGGCCGTAGATGGTGATACCGGCGATGCCAATCCACTCTTGCAGGATTTGCAGCCAGATTACCAGCTGTACGCGGCGACCGATGTGAAGTTTGCCCGACCCGATGCCAAAAAACATGTGGAAATAGCTCTGCTGCTTGGCGGTTTCCTTTTCCATATTGCTGATGCGAACGATATCATTACATTCGGCTGCGGCTAGGTCGCCATCTGCGCCTCGCAAACGTTCTAGGATAAAGCGTGCTTCTTCCTCGCGGCCCACTTTAACAAGCCATCGAGGTGACTCGKGCATGAACCAGATTATGACAGCGAGGATGATTAGTGGCACGATCTGAAAGGCGATGGGGAATCGCCAAATGAAGGATGAGACGGGGTCATAGTATTTGGAAGTCCCACTATGGACGTTATTAGACTTGTCGCTGACAGATAGCAGGTCCTGTGCATCACTCACAATTCAATCCAATAAGCCACAACGACTCCGAAAATGTTGAGAGTGAACTCCAGCGCGATAAACTGGCCTCGAGATGTGTGGCCGGCGGTTTCGGTGGCCCATACGGGAGTGACGGCGTTCAATAAGCCCGTCCCAATACCGTTAAACACGCGGGCTGTAGCCAATTGTCAGTCTCCTGCGCGACGTTTTAAGTCGATGGGCAACGGACCGCAATACATCCACTCTGCATTCTGTGCCGAGCACTGCAAACAGGCGCCGATAATCGACCAGACGGCGCCCAGGCCGATTGTGGAAATCCGGCCATAACGATCACCGAACCAACCGCCCAGGAGACAGCCAAAGAGGGTTCCAGGAAGGTAGTAAACGGCAACCTAGATGGTCAAATATCAATCTTCAGCTGTGTTCTCTTCTGCTTTGGCATCCTAGTAGCAAGAACAGGAAAGATAATCTTACAATGCTCCCTTGAAGCAGCGGTTTGGTCACCACAACATTGCCCTGTTGTTCATCGAAGTAACCAAAACCCATCAATTCAGCATAGTTCCGATTTGTGTTCACACCACCCATCAGACCTTGATCATAACCAAAAAAGAAAATGGAAATTCCGGCCACTATACAAACAGCATTGAGAAGAGATTGCTTGTATAGTTTATTGGCCACATTATGCTTGGACAGCGCTCCAATMTGGACCATTGTGGTCAGTAGCAAGATTATGACGAGTGTTTGTAAAAAGAAAAGAGAGAACAATATGAGGTAGAAGACAGCAAATTTCTTGATAGAGATGGATTGCAACTTTCCCCAGAAAAACTAGAATATTAGGGCTGACAAAACCTGGGGATGAGTTGCGTTTTGAATGGCAGCGCATCTCTCAGACTGTCTGTGCCTGTATACAAGTCATCCAGCACCTCCGGAGTTTTTAAGGTTTAGCCGGCCAGCCATTTGGGAGCTCAATGCGGGCCTGATTGGGTAGATGAACACGTGCCTCGCATGATTTTTTAGGCGTCTGATATTTTATTGTGGAGGTCACAGTTTGGTTCCCTGGAATGAACTGGTATGGTGCGGTTCCTTGCGGTGGCAATACGGAGTTGCTTGTGATATCGGGGAAATTGCCCGAGTTCCCCGACACAAGCCATCCCCCATAAATAAACCCTCGGCGTCTTCGCCGCACCTGCACCTTTACCCACCATGTCTATTTTCCCTTCCTTCACTGTCGATGGCCGGCAATTCGTCCCCAGATTCAACTCGTAACCCGAGCACGGACGGGCTGGGGGAACCCCTAGCGAGGAAAAGACGGCGCGTCATTGGAGACGGCAGGGTAAGTTGTCATTGTCTGTCCCTTAACCCCCCCACAAACCCCAAAATTCTTTCCCGAGGAGAGCGCTTTTGTGGAGATGAAATTTCGGCCGGAATACATGGATATCTACCACGATGTGGCGGTTGATGTCGTCTTCGTGTGCTCGAAACAGCCAATTGCATGGATTCGCAGAGAACCTAACAATCGCAGACCACCCTGCGCCGCCAGGCGGCCTGTCAGTCTTGTCGGCTTCGGAAGGTCAAATGTGACAAGCAGAAACCTTGCTGTTCCGTCTGCAAATCCAGCGGCTCGACATGCGAGTATCCCGAGAAAGCCACTGAGAACCTCACGTAAGGGAATGGACTCCCCGTTTGGACATCGCTCATACTAACGTGGCGCACGGCAGACTCGAATTAGCCACTCGCACCTTACTGGAAAAGATCGATCAGTTAAGGGAAGAAATTAGTGACCTAAAAGATACAGTGCATGGAGGAGGTAAGAACACCCATTCAGAATGCCTGTTATTTGAGGAAAATGACAAGGGAAATGGACGAGGAGAAGTCGTAATGATCAACTGACTGATGTGGCTGTAAAGGCAGTGATGAAGGCCAAGCACGAGCAGGACGGCTCGGTGCGATGCCATGCAGCGTTCAGAAGGAAAGCAATACGGCGAAGACTTTGCCTTGCCTGGAGAGCTCCGGAGATTTCCTTCAAATTCCGGCATGCAAGATGAGCGCTGATACCGTCTTGACTTGGGAGATTTTTGGAGAAAAATATTCACAAGACACCTTGATCGGAGTGCTTTTCCAATCCAAAAAGGCCAAATCATCATCATCAACTCAGACAAACTCCGAGGTGGCTTCGGCCGATGAAGCCGCGCAGACCAGCGGACTCCAACCGCCGGATGACGAGCGAATCCCTTTCCTGATCGACAACTTCCTGCAAAATGTCCATACCAAGAATCCTATCCTCGACGTAGAATCCCTCGTGCAGCATGGCCGCAAGTGTGCGGCCCATGGCATTGGCTGGGACGGCCTCTCATGTCTCGTACTTCTGGCATGTGCGCTTGGTGCTCTCGCGAAGCCGTTCGACTGTCCCTCGGCCGCTCAGCAGTCAGCTCTGCCCTGCGCATCCGTCAACTCGGCCCCAGGAAGTCGCTCTACGCAGGTTTATGCACAGAATCTGCAGCAAGCTGATGCATATTTCACTCTCGCTTGTCGTCGTCTTGGCTCACTTAAGCACACCCTGCTAGGAGCTCAATGCTATTTTTTTGCAGGTGGTAGGTCACATCCTAGAAGAATCCCAATGTTTATATCCTAACGTTCCGAGTTTAGTATACCTGATGTACGCTCTGCGGCCTGTTCTGTCGTGGCAGTATTTCTTCCACGCGTCTGTCCTCTTCAATCTGCATCTCAAGGCGACGTACGGTGTAGACGAGAGTCTCGTAGGGGCTCTGGGGTTTCCGTCACAACAATTAAGTGCCGCAGACCGTAAGATCAGGCGGCTGGAGCATAGCCTGTATTGGTCGTGTTTCAAGTCCGAATGCGAGTTCCGTGTCGAGCTCCCTCTTCCACAGTCAGAACTCAGCAATGGCGAATACCCCAGCCTCTTCCCCTCGCCTCCATCACCTAATGCAACCGACGCTCCTAGAAGTTCCACTTCCCAACCTCCTAACAGAAGTTCCATTGGTAGTGGGGATATGGCGCTGGATCCGCTTGGCCCGTTCGATGTCGACCCAAGGAGAGCGGAAGAAGAACGCGAACTACGACAGCATGCCAGGCGCCTATGCAACGAGGAAGAAAGTTGGTATTACTACCTTACAGAGATCGCGTTGCGGCGCATCGGCAACCGCATCATCAATACTTTTTTCCGCCAAGATCCTGCTTCGTGGCTGGATATCAAACCACTCCTTCGCATCGGTCAGGAGTTTGAAGCCCAGGTCTTATCCTGGTCAGCACATCTTCCTCCTGTGATGCAACGCTATGAGACGACATCTCTTATTCGCGCACCGCATCTAGAAGGGAGCCATGTCTCTCGCGAACTCAGCTGGGCGGTCGATAACCGGCTTGTTGAAATGCAAACGTGGCTCTATCAACCCTTCCTTTACTATCTTATTCACATCGGGGTCTACCCTCGTACATCAATGCAAGATGGCTACGCAACCTATCGGTCAGCTGTTCCGGAGCAATCTACTCGCGATGGCCACATCAATAGTCTCTTGAATCCAGCTTTCACCACCGGGCGTCCGACGGCCGCCTCCCACGAGTTCAATTTTCCGTCTAACCAGTTCAACGTCTGCGGGGCGTCGCTGGATAATGAGGACTTGACTGTCCTTCGGGCCCTGATTGCATCAGGAATCCAATGTAACCTTAGGACCTTGGACGTGCGTTCGGTCGGTCATCGCCATCATGGTCTATGGTATGACCTCCGAAGCATTATGTGCGCATCGCTCATTCTCCTGGCCGTAGTTAAGAGTGGGAATGCCGCGTGGATCCCCGGTGGTGCCGAGACGCTCTGGGGACCTGACCCCGGAGCCACTCACGTGTCGGGCTCACTGGTGCCGATTGGAGGGAAGATTGGGAAGGTTCTGGCACAATTTGACTTCTGGGCGGGGGAGGCACCGGACCTGTTGAGACATAAAGAGATTTTGGAGCAGGTCGTTAGAGAAGTGAGGGGTGCATAGCTTTCCTTCAGGAGTTGACGGCAATGAGCTGTTCCGTCTGGATGATCGATACCGCAATACCCTTAATGCTATCCCGTCTGGTGCTGTCCTCTACATACGTTGGTCTCTAAAAAAAAAGAGAGAGCAGAGGATAATAGCCGACTCCTTCGCGCTGATCCGTGTCCGTAAACTTTCTGTCTCGTCTAATGTATGGACGATGACCCAATGGCAGCGCATGCAGCGTTTCCTAAGTCAGGGCAGTAGACATTATCTGTGCCACGGTGCAAATGATGAATGCAATCATCACAATTGTTTTTCACTCCTGTAGTACCGCTATCGTAATCTATGAGATGCTTTATATACAACAGTATCCTGTATTAGAAACAAGATCTTGGGCGATGATGGTACAGGATTTCAGGTGCCGGTCCTCTAGCTTCGAACCCCAGCAATGAGTGTTTTGATACCATTTCCTGCCTTAACATCCTCAAATGCTCCTTCAGCGTCTTCGAATGGTACGATCTTGGTAATCAAGTCCTTGACCTTCACCTTGCCGGTTGATATAAGCTCGATTGCAAGTTTATAATCACCCGCTGCGTATCGAAAACTGCCTCGAACATTCAGTTCCTTGGTGCAGGCTGCAGTGATCGGAAAGTTGATCTCCTCTCTACCCATGCCTCCTTGGACAAAGGTGCCACCCGGCTTTAAAACATGAATACCAGTGTGAACCGCAGCCTCTGCACCCGACGCCTCGATCACAACATCTGCCCCAGTTCCAAACTCATTAGCTTGCCTCATCCGTGAGGCATCCTCTGCCGCGGACGCGCATTTGTCCAAGAGGAAAACCGATGTCGCGCTGTAATTCCGAGCAAACTCCAGTCTCTGGGCCTGCACGTCTACCACCGTGATATGGGTCGCTCCGAACGCCCGGGCCACGGCAGAACATAAGAGGCCGACAGGTCCGGCTCCAAAGACGACGACCGAGTGTCCTGGTTGTACCTTTCCTTGTCGAACCAGGTGCACTGCAACACTGAGCGGCTCAACAAGGGCACCTTCCTCCATAGTCACGTTGGAGGGGAGCTTATAGCAAAAGTCCTCCGGGAGGGAGTAGTACTTAGCCAAGGTGCCATCGTACGGGGGTGTTGCCGCAAAGGCCATCTCGCTGCACAGGTTATATTGTCCCGTCTTACATGACATACACCGCCGACAAGGCACACCCGGTTCAAGCGCGACGCGATCACCCACTTGGAGTGTGGTCACTTCGGGTCCCACTTGTACTACGATGCCTGAGGACTCATGCCCGACGACCATAGGACGTTGCAGGATAAATTGGCCGATCCGGCCGCGCTGCCAATAGTGAACCTGGTACATAGACAGAAACTCTGTTAACACCTAAGCTTTTTCCAATCCGCGTCGAGATCATCTCACATCACTGCCACAGATGCCTGTAAACTTTACATTCACGAGGACATCATGAGGATCGCACAATTGTGGCACAGGGCGATCTTCAAACACCAACTGGCCGACATCTCGAAGTACTAACGAAGTATTCTGTGACAAGGGGGGTTAGATGACTGTGCTGTGTCACTTACAACAAACATCTTTAAGAATCCAGATAACTTACTGGCACTTCTCCCATCTCGAAGACCAAGCTTGTGCACGCTGGGGTATGATGAGAAATTTGGAATCTCTAAGTCAGTAAAGCGGCAAGGGTATCTCATATATACGACTATCAGTGGGAAGTTCTTTTTAGACTTGCACAGCAAGGAAGTATCCTTCTACGCTTACGCAAATTTGGAGGAAAGATATTAGCAAATCTCTCCGTGGAAAAGACGCTGCATGATTTTTGCGTCGGTGATTAATGCCGTTTTGGCCGGCTCCGATGACTCTCATGACTGTTCATGTTCAAGTCACAGCAGATGGTGGAACAGGAGGATTTCCTCCTCGGAATCAGTGGGGGGAAGAAGGGACAAAATTATGCGGAGCCTTCCTTCGGGGAAAATGGCGAAACCGCCGGAACTGCCTGCTACAAGCACAACTTCTGGCAACCCCACAAATGCGGCAATTCCTCCTCGTGCTTCCACTCCAGCTTACCCGTATTCAGAATTATTCAGAATGGAAAATTTCGGTTGTTGGGAGGCGGTAATAAAAAATAAATACATTAATCAAATAAAAAGGGGAAGAATATAGATGAATTTATTTCGAGTCACGTTGCGAAGGCGTCAGTAGGCCCGGCCGCTCTTCCCTGCCCTGAGTACTTCTGCCATCGGCTTCTCCCTGGGACACTGCACTCCTGTTTCAGTCATATCTCCCCTATGAAAAGTCAATTTCAGTAGAGCCGCTGCGAAACACGATGCAGTCTTCATTGAACTACTATATTGGCATTGATGTTGGTACTGGGGGTGCTCGCGCCTGCATCATCGACGACGCAGGCAATATTGTCGGTTTAGCGTCTGAGGATATCAAGCTATGGCAGTCAGGAAAGGGCCACTATGTAAGCTGTCGTCTATCCATCATAAGCCAGACTGGGAGAAGTGCTAATCCTTGGTCGGAACCGCAGGAGCAGTCGACCTCTGACATCTGGCGCTCTACATGCTCCGCTGTACGTCGCGCCGTCAGGGAAAATAACATCCCGGCGACGATGATCCGGGGAATCGGATTCGACGCAACCTGCTCCCTTGCTGTCCTTTCTACCGAAGATGACAGTCCCGTGTCGGTTACTTCTCCTGCGTTCGATACCGACCGGAATGTGATCCTGTGGCTGGATCATCGAGCAGTGGAGGAAACCAAACGAATCAACGCAACAGGTCACAAAGTCCTCCAATACGTAGGAGGGGCGATGTCAGTGGAGATGGAGATACCAAAAATTCTCTGGCTACGGAACAACATGTCTGCGGAAAGCTTCTCAAGATGCAAGTTCTATGACCTGGTAGATGCTCTTACACATCTAGCTACCGGTAGCGAAACTAGGAGCCTGTGTAGCCTCATCTGCAAGCAGGGGTACTTGCCAAAGGAGAGGGATGATAGTGCGTCTGGCTGGCCTAAGGACTTCTTGGACCAGATTGGGCTTGAAACCTTGAGCAAGAGTAATTTCCACTGCCTTGGTGGGATCAATGGAGAGGTGAGATGTCCTCGTGGCGCATTTCTTGTTGTGGGGGGCCAAATGAACTGACCTTCGGTATCGAAATAGAACGGTCGACATCTCCACGCCGGAGAATTGGCCGGGTGGTTGTGTGAGAAGGCTGCGCAGGAGTTGGGACTACCGTCGGGTATTGCCGTAGGCATCGGAGTGATCGACGCCTATGCCGGATGGATAGGAACAGTTTCAGCTAAAGTAGAATTCGCCGAGCCTTCAATGAACATCCAATCGCGGGCCGAGGGGGAACAAGGATATTTTACTCGCCTTGCTGCTGTTGCTGGTACATCAACGTGCCACCTCGTCATGTCGCCCAGTCCTATATTCGTGCCTGGCGTTTGGGGACCTTACCGGGATACTATTATTCCCGGCTGCTGGATGGCAGAAGGAGGACAATCTGCAACAGGTCAACTCATCCATCACGTCCTGGAGACTCATCCGGCTGCTGGGCAAGCCAAAGCGCTTGCATTGTCCCGTCAGACTGATATCTTCACCTTCTTGAACGAGCGTTTGAAGGAAATGGCAGAGGAGCAGCATGCTCCACACATTGCATACCTGGCACGCCATTTCTTTTTCTACGGTGACCTTTTCGGCAACCGCTCTCCAATAGCTGATCCAAATATGGTGGGATCCATTGTTGGTCTTACCAGCGACGTATCTGTGGACAGCTTAGCTATCTTATATTACAGCGCATTGGAGTTCATCGCCTTACAGACACGGCAGATCGTCCAAGTTATGAACCAGGCTGGCCATAAGATCTCCTCCATCTTCATGTCCGGATCCCAATGCCAGAATAACATCCTGGTGAACCTCATTGCATCCGCATGTGACATGCCGGTTGTGGTTCCTTACTATGTCAACGCAGCGGTTTGCCACGGTGCTGCGATGCTTGGTGCCAAAGCGGCAAGCTCAGATAAGCAGGGGAAGACGACGGATCTCTGGACAATTATGGATCGCATGAGTAAACATGGCAAGGCTGTCTACCCGACAACTAACCGCCATGAGAAGACGCTTATCCTCGCAAAATACCAAGTCTTCCTCGAGCAATGCCGCAGGCAGCGGGAATATCGAGAGTTGGTGGATAGAATGATCGCATCCCTACAATGACCGAAGACACCGCGCAAAAGGAATTTACCAAACGCTGAGGTCAAAACAAGCTCGATAACATGGAATATCTTCTGGTGTAAAAGATGATAGGAAGCTGAAGCGACAGCTGAAGCGACAGACTTTAGGGAACAATTATAGACATTCATACGGAGGTGGGCTTTGGACAGCGACATATGTACCAGAAGACCATGATAAAGAATTTTTATAACATCAATACTGACATAGGTACAGGATCACATTAGATCACATGACATCGGAATTTCCTGTTACAAAAGATATGTAGCTAAATCAAGGAACGTCCCGCATGAGTAATTCCGTTGATGCTCTCAGACGCTGTTAAGATGAAGAGCATCTACGATGTGGATAGAAGCGGAGATGGAAAGAAGACTCTGTCAGTATTGAGGCCATTCAGAGAGGTGAAGAAGGAAAGACCGGGAACAGCAGAAACAAAATGAGAGACAATGCAAACAGGGGTGAACAAATTCCATTGGACCCAGCCCAATACCAGACCGTACTAGATTCAGTGATTGCAACAGGACCCGAGAGAGAGACTGCTCCGCTTTACACAGTGGTTGCTCTGACGGTACTTCCCGCCGAGTAGGCAGCCTCACTCGCAAGCTCTCTCTCTTCCTGTCCAATGGTGTCCCCAAATACCGCGTCCAGTTCTTCCAATGTCTTCCCACTAGTTTCCGGAACCAGCAGCGTAGCCCACACCCCAGCCAAAAAGCACATAACAGCGAAGAAGATGTATGTTCGGTAGCCAATATTCTGCATCATACTTGGGATTGAGATCCCGACCACAAAATCACAGAGCCAAACAGTGCAACTCTCGAGCGCAACTCCCTTGGATCTAGTCGCAGTTGAAAAGACCTCGGAGGGAAGGGCCCATCCAAGCGGGGAGTAGGAGACACCAAAGGCTAGGATGAAAACAAACGCCATCGCCACAGCGCCCCAACCGGCGGCCAGGTGAGATTTCCAATCCGTTGAATACAGCCCGGAAAGGACTGCGATGACGGTGTATGCCGCAGCACACGCAAAACCCCCGAAGATAGCTAGGGGTCTACGCCCAACTTTGTCGATGATCAAGAAGCACACTATGGCAGCGATCATCTGCAAAATGTTAAACACACCTGATAGAATGAGAGATTGCTCAGAAGACTGGCCAAGCGCCTGAAATAGAGTCGGTGCGTAGTAGATAAAGGCGTTTATGCCAGAAAATTGCTGGAAGAAGCCAACGCCAGCTCCCACAGTTGTCCTTTTCCAGGACTTGCGGCTGAAGAGATCTAGCCAGCCAAGGAATTCAAGCTTAAGCCCAGTAGCTCCTGGATGTCGCTTTGCCTGGACAACTTTCTGAAAGGTGATCTCAGCAATGATTCCTTGGAACTCTGCCTGCACCCTGTCGTCGTTACTAGGTAAGCCTCTCAGCTTCGTAAGGCTGCGAAGACAATCGTCGCGGCGATTGACAAGGGCTAACCAGCGGGGCGAATAAGGGAAAAAGTGAATACCAAGTCCCAGTGCTGTGGCGGTGACCATCTGCACACCGAAGGGTAGCCGGAATGATGCTTCACTGGCGATATGTCTCGTGCAAAATGTAATCCAAAAGGCGATCACGACCCCAGATGTGATGGAGATCGATTCCAAAACTAAGAGTGTCCCTCTGATGTTTGGTGGCGCAATTTCGGAAATGTAGAGAGGTGCACCCTTTGTCACAAACCCAAGTCAATATTCCGGTCAAGTACATGCAACTGCAACGGACTTGCCTAGTCACTTACCATGGCAAGCGTACCAACGCCTATACCTCCAATAAATCTTCCCGCCACAAGAGTGGCATAGTTTGGTGCAGCTGTCTGGAGAATAGCACCAATATCAAATATCACAACCACAACCATCAGTGCCCGCTTGCGCGAGAACCGGTCAGCGACATAGGGCATGAAGATGCAGCCAACAAAAGCACCCAGCAACAGCATTGCAGTCATAAACTCCGTGCCAAAGGCAGATTCCGCAAAGGGGTAGGCGTGGTGGAATTGCTCCATAACATTGATGATGGAGATGACTCCCATATCGTAGCCCATAGAGAAGCCGCCCAGAGAGGCGAGGACAGCCGCGCCGAAGACATATTTCGAGCTGAGAAGACCTTTAACCCCCGAGGAGCCGTACGAGATGGATTGCAAGAAGCTCGGATCCGCAATAATTGTTTCATTGTGTTCTGATGATACCACCGCGCCGTCAGCCTTGCTGGACAGATGCTGTTTGTTTTCGTCAATAGCCATGGCCGATGCAGATGAAGGGGTGATATGGACTCAAGAAAAGAGCAAGATGATGGCTGTAGGACTTGGGGGCCGAACTGATGTCCCCCGAGCTGTTATTTATATTCGCCCCTTGCCAAATCATGCCTTTTTTGAAAAAGAGTTTCTCTTTCTCATAACGCCCGGAAAGATTAAAACTTTTAGATTCCAGAGTTTCATTTGCGGGGGTGGAGTCCTTTGAGACATCCGGGGCAGAAGTTTTCCCCAGATTTTCAAAGACTCCATGCTGAGTTCTCTGGCACGCGTACGTTCATACGCCTTGCCCTGAGCACACAGAGCTGATGAGTTGGTCATAGACTATTTGAGTTTCTGCTACTTTGGACTTATTACTAAAAGAGGCAGGGGTCGCCGATGGCTATGAAACGATACCTAATCTGTTACAATCCTAGGTAGATTTTCGTTGGTCAGGAGATAAGGTGACTTATTATTTGTAGTTTTCCTTTTCCTATCTCGTCAAGCTTTCTCTAAAGCGGGAAGCGAACCTGACTTGGTAGGACCTTGCGAGCCTTACCGATCTTTTGAACCCACAGATGATCATGTATGGGCTGACGGGTTGGTTATCCACTGCGCCGATGTGCTCCGATATTGCTTTGGATGCGATGCTGAGAGCACCCATGTCCCCGCAGCAGATACAACATCCGCTCAACGCATTTCTCGGTACGGAGAACTCTTTGCCTTTTGAGAAGTCATGGGAAGAGTTTCGCCCTTGCTCTTTCCTTCCCATCTATGCTCGCGGTCTGCGGGGAGAAACCTTCCCGAGATTTGGTATCTCAACCACTTCCATGTTGCTGGTATTCAATACTCGGAACTTGCGAGGATTCTGCTTGTAGTACACAACCCAAAGGTTCCCCGCATGGGCCCCAGTCACCGTGCTGCAATGCGCTCGGTGGACCAGACCCTTAGTTCCGTCGTGCTATGGATATGTGGCATCGCTCCATCAAACCAGTACAGCCCACCGGGCCTGGTCGTGGCTAGTACGGCTATCCGTATGTGTGAGATCGATTCACCATGAGGTCAAACAAAAGGCATTGCTCGCTCTTCGTGTATTGCTTGAAGAAAATCATACCTGGGCCACGCATTCTACGCCGCAACTTCTGAAGGGAACTTGGGTTGGTTTCAAAGAGCAATATTCCGGTCTTAAGACAGACTGATCAACATGCTACCAATATACGTGATTCTTCAAGCTATTTAGTGAGGGTGGGACCATACTAGGTAGGTTCAATAAGCCCGAGCTCAGTTATAAAGCCTCATTCGACAGTGTTTTGCACTAAAATTTGTATCGGGGAAAATGTTGCAAAGCTCCCATTGCAAACTCCCTCGATTACGCCAAGCCCATTGCGTGTTACTACGGTCCTCACACTTGGTGCCCTCATGGTATTGACACCCTCCGCTAGACAGTTCAACGATTCCCATGGCAAATAAGTTAGCCGGGCAGCTAGAAACGCGCCGGATTAACACTCCCCTGCCCTACTGATGTCACTCTCATCTCCCTAGTGACCGCAATTGAACCATCAACCCCAGCTCATCTAATATAGCTTATGATGCTGGCGCGAAGCATAATATGAAATAGGGAACTTTCCCCGCGAAACAGAATGGGCTTCCATATCAAACAATCTCTGTCTCGAGAAATGATATCTCGAGAAATGATATCCCGAGAAATGATATCCCGAGAAATTACTGGATATGGAAAGAATGCGGCGACACTATAGAAGCGCCGCCATTCGGCGTCACGCGAAGGGCCAATGTAATTGGATCCCACACGCGACATGTTTTGCAGAGTACCTGCCAAGCAGCTCGTGAGAGAAGCCCCTTGGTCAACCATCAGTGATGACCTACAGGCGGCGATTCTCGGTTTCCCCCTCTGTTCTTGCACGATACACGATGTATCGGATACGGATAGTACCTATCATGCGGGGAAGCCTGTGGTTCTGCCGACTGAGAGTATGGATCTGTTCTAGAGCAGAGACCAGAGGTTAATAAATAACGCCGATGTCCGATGGTGTAAAGTCGCAATCTACCGGTTGACTAGACGTCTGCATTCTTCCATCACTCACTCTCGTCATTACAGTGCCTACAGTGCCTACATCGGAACGACCACCACCGCGTCGTCGAATACGAGAACGTCAGCTTACAACAGACCCTGAACTATGTCGAACTGGGACCGCCGTGTCAAGTTTGCCCTTTTCGGCCTCGGCCGCCTGGGAGTCCTTCGAGCCCGCATCCTTGCCTTCCAGCAGCCTCGGATAGAACTCGTCGCGGTCTGCGATACAAAGCCGGGCACTGACAAATGGGCTGCAGAGAATCTGCCCCCGTCTGTCAAGTATTTTGCAGACCCTCAAGAATGCCTGAAGAACAGTGGCGCTGAGGCGGTCCTCGTCTGTACCGCGACGGCTACACACGCGCCCCTGATCCTGCAGGCCCTCGATCTAGGCTTACACGTCATGTGCGAGAAGCCCATCTCTGTGGACATCGCTACTACCCAGGCAGTGATCKAGAAGTCTGCTTCTAGGCCTGACCTCAAGTTCCTCGTTCCCTTCACTCGCCGATGTAAGTAACACTACGTCCCGCGCTCGGCAGAGTTCAGAGACTGAGTTGCGCCAGATGACAAATCCTACCGCCAGGCTAAGGCTCTAATCGACAATGGAGCACTTGGTGAGATCCACGCTGTTGAAACGACTGGCATCGATCAAGCAGACCCTAACGGTATGGCCCTAATTGCCCCCAGTCGTTGTCTTCCGCAGGCTGATTCCATTCCGTTTAGCCTTTTTCGTGTCCTTTTCTGAACAGTCTGGTGGCATCTTCCTTGATTTTGGTATCCACACCGTCAGTCCTAGTATTTCTCCTCTCATTCCCGGTCCTATCTACTAAGACACCTTCAGGTCGACGCCGGACGATACCTGCTGAACGTTAAATCAGGCCTCTCTAACCCCAACAAGCAAGTCAACAGAGTCATCGCCTTCGGCCAGCGGGCTGTCTATGGGGACTTGGCGAAGTATGGCGACGCCGACAATGCTTGGGGCCTGGTGGAATTTGCCAATGGCAAGATTTTCAAGACTTACCTCGGTCGCACGCTCACCAGCGGTTTTGAGGACACCACCCGATTGTGTGGCACCAAGGGACATTCGATCATCAGCGCCAAGTCGAATGTTGAAATCCGCGACCATCTCGGTATTCGCACGCAGTCTGTGCCTGATGCGTTCACGCTCTTTGATGCGACCTTCCTGACTGACCTTGCTGAGTTCGCCGACGCKGTGCTGGATAACAAGCCCTTGACTTGTCAACCAGAGGATGCCTTCGAGGCGGCCAAGATCTGCGCTGCGCTGCAGTACTCATTTCGCAACGGCGTGCCTGTATACTTCGACGATAATGGTCTACCTATCATGAAGCTATGAGGCGATTGCATATATTACAAGATAGAAAGCAAATAGACATAGTTCGGGTAGACTTCATTTCAATTTTCATGGCACTTCAAGAAGAACTGTACTATGTTCCCACTGTACTATGTCTCAAGTTGACAGACTTCAAATGTCTGTGCGAGAAATCAGCTTTGGCGTAATTATGAAGAACTTCCGCTTCATCTCATCACTGAGGGCTTCTGCAATAAGTTGTCCAGATAAACCAAATTACGGCGGTACTGAAGAATAATGGCCCCATGTTGAATCAATGGCATAAGGAGACCGAAGCATCCAACTGCGCCGCGAACGGGGCTGTCAAGGGAGTTTGCGCAGATTACACAACATAAGCGTTCTCTGCCACTGAGCTAAGTCCATAGAATATACCTAAACACTGCTTTTTCTTCGTTTCATCCTCAGCATGTCGCCGCACGTGCCAGACTGGATCAATGACAGAGGCAAGTCGGGCCAGTTGGTCGAGCCTACTGAATACTTCCCGTTTGCCATGGTTGTATTGCGGTGTTTGGACCGCTCATATTAGTGGTTGTATGAGCGTTGCTCGTACTCGATGCTGGCTGGCGATGATCGCCTGCAGCGCATTGGTAGCTCCGCATTTTGTGATTCTATGCTTTTGCCTGCTCAAAACTATCCCGGTCGGAGAAGGATTGTTAGCGCCCCCACGGCTTTGATCAGCCCTTTGAGGCAATGTCGGACGAAAGCTCGCCGAGGGGCATTTCCAGAAACAGCAAGTCAAGGCGAGACGTACAAAAGGTACCGCACGGGGTGCGGGGATTGTCCGATCATGTGGTAGACGAACTAAATACTCTTTGAAGGCGGCGAGACTTTCCCGATTCGGAGATTTAAGTTGATCGACTTCTCATCGAGTGGACTCATAGGACATATATAGTTTATTTGATGTTTCGGGCGTTGAACGGCGTATATCAGCAGCTCGAGGCCGTTCGTTTTCTCGCGAGATAAAGACTGTGGACATCACTGAGAGGCTCCTTTTCAACGTCTTTCCTGACAGAAGAAGAGAAAATGGCACCTTATATTCAAGAATCCGTTGGCACCGACTCCGTGTCTCAGGCTACCCTCCAGTCTGAGAAGGCAGTGCTCAACCATGACCAGGTCCACAAGCCCGTCGCGGACGACTTCATGTACGACTTCAGGTACAACCACAGTCTCCCCACTACCGACATCTTAGGCGTTGAGATCCCCGCCGACTGCGATGCTCAGAAGGAGGCCGAGGGCATCGTAGCCCGTCTCTCTACAGCCACATCAAAGGGAGATGCGCAAGCTTTCGCTGGGCTGTTCCTCGATTATGGTGAGACCTCTCTCAGAATCCGAAATCTCTGCTCTCGCTGACCTCAGATGTACAGGCGTGTGGCGTGACAAGCTCTCATTCACCTGGGACTTCCGCACATTTAACTTCAGAGAGGCCATCTTAAAGGCCGCTACCGACCTTTTGCATCAAACCAAGGCTAGAAATTTCGACTTTCTCGAGCCTGCGCCGTCGGTGTCTCGCCCTTACCCGGACTTCTCTCAGCTGCAATTTGTTGTATCTTTCGAGACTGAGATTGTTTTCGCTTCGGCCGTCATCAATGCAGTCCTCACTCAAGACGGCTGGAGAATTTACACCATGCATACTGTCGCCGAGAGCCTCAAGCAGTTCCCCGAGCAGGCCGCACCAGATGGGCACATGACCGGTATCACTAGCTGGGAGAGCCAGAGAGCCGACGCCATCAACAGTGTTGACCCCGAGGTGCTGATCATCGGTGGTGGTCAAAAGTAAGAACCCATGCATGTGAGCTCCATGAAATAATCCTAATTTATTTCTACTAGTGGTCTCGCTATGGCAGCGCGCTTGAAAGTCCTTGGTATGGAAAACCTGATTATCGAACGCAGCGAGGAAGTCGGAGATATCTGGAAGAAGCGTTACGAATACCTTTCACTGCACTTCCCACACTGGCCCGATGCCTTACCATACTTCCAATACCCTCAGCATTGGCCCACATATACCCCGGCTCAGAAGCAGGGTCTATACATGAAGTGGTATGCCTCCGCTCTGGAGCTCAATGTCTGGACCAAATCGGAGGTTATAAAGGCCGAGCAGGACACTGAGGGTAATTGGACCGTTGTAATCAACAAGGAGGGCAAGGAGACTCGTACGCTGCACCCTAAGCAACTCATCATGGCCACGTCGCTATGCGGTGTCCCTTCCATCCCGGCCGTGCCTGGCATGGCTGACTTCCGGGGAGTGATCCGTCACTCTAGCGCCCACAAGAGCGCCCGTGACTTTGTCGGTAAGAAGGTCTGCGTTGTCGGTACTTCATCCTCGGGCTTTGACACAGCTTACGAGTGCGCCCGCCTGGGAATTGATGTGACCCTCCTCCAGCGGTCACCGACTTACGTCATGTCTTTGACCCATTCTGTTCCTCGCCTGCTTGGGGCTTATGCGCCCGACAAGAATGGCAACCTCCCCAATCTCGAGGTGCAGGATCGTCTCATGTTCTCTACGCCAGTTGGACCTGGGGAGGAACTCGCCAGGCGCACCGCTAAGGTCCTTGAGGAGCTCGACAAGCCCCTACTCGAAGCTCTTAACGCCCGAGGTCTGCGAACATGGCGCGGCCAGCGCGATACTGGCAACTCAACACTAAGTCAGACCCGGAACGGTGGATTCTACTTTGATGCCGGTGCTTGCGAGGAAATTATCAATGGCAACATCAAGGTGGAGCCGGGTTTCGTTGAAAGGTTCACCGAAGACAAGGTGATCTTAAACGGCGGCCGTGAGAGGGAGTTTGACCTAGTCGTCTTTGCCACCGGATTTTCGAACATGATCGACTCCATTCGAGCAACTCTGGGTGAGAAGATTGCCAGCCAATGCGGACCTATTTGGGGTATTGATGAGGAAGGCGAGTACAAGACGGCTTACCGGGAGACGGGAGTGCCCAACATGTGGATCATGGTTGGTTTCCTTCCAATGACCCGGTATGCCTCCAAATTATTGGCTTTGCGACTGAAAGCTCTGAAGGAGGGCATTTCTCCACCCCCTTACAAAGTTTAGGTTCCATAGATCGATAGAATAGATTGATGATTCCGCGTTCAAACAAATGTGCCCGTAAACGGCTGGGTTTCTGTCATGCACCTGGTAGATTCGTGACTACCAAACAAATATGCAAGTGCAGGAGAGACACTTAGGACGTGTTTCTAGGGAAATCGCAGGGCCGCTCTTTCATCACCGGGTTTAAGAATCTAAGTGACTCGATCTATTTCATAAAGGAGGAGAGATAGGGAAGAGATTTTTACCATTTCAGGATTTTCACTTCTTCAATCACTCGCTGTAGGACGAAAGAGAAACCCGCTCGTATTACATACTATTCCAGCCAGGACAGGTTTTAGCGGTCCGCAGATTTCAACATTTACATTTAAATCATCCTTTCAATATGCAAAGTGTGACATCTCCCGTAGAAGGTTGGAGTACGATTCTATATCCACATTCGGGGATCTCTACTGCTTGTACCAGTCATCGAAACCGAGATCCCATCCAAACAGAGGCGTATTGATACGCTTCGCCTTTCCTTGTGCAGCCAGGCCATTAAGCACATCCATATCCTCGTGGGAGAGAGGGATGACTTGACGGTTGCTCACGATTCGATCTTCTTTAGTAGACTTGGGTAGTACAACAACGCCCCTGTTGACGTGGTAGCTGATAAGTACCGTAGCAGGTGAAACATTGTTCTTCTTAGCAATCTCCTGAATTGCAGGGTCGGACATGAGCGGAGCGCCTGGAAATGGCCCAGTTAGCTGGGATTACCTCATGGAAAACCCCACGTAGCGTGTCAAGGACACTTACCGTCGGAGCCAAGTGGCGAGTAGGCCTCGAGAAGGATGCCATGCTTGTCGCACCACTCCTTCAGAGCGTGCTGAGGAAGGAAAGGGTGTAACTCGACTTGGTTGACAGCAGGGACCACGGTCCACTTTTTTTTGAGCTCCTCTAGATAGGGAATCGACCAGTTGGCTACGCCGATCGCCTTTACTTTGCCAGCCTTATAGACCTCCTCCATCTGGCGCCAGGTCTCACTCTGATCCCAGGATCGGTCGACAGATCGTGTGCCATCGGGATTGACTGGTAGAAGCTCGCTCGACTCGTTCTGTGCGATACAAGTTAGCCATGCAAATGTCGTGATGGAGGGAAACAGCGGAGTGGCTCACAGGAACAAGTCGGACTGGCCAGTGGATGAGCTGATGTTTACGTTAGCCGAGCTATCGACAGCTGTGCCACGCCTGCCCACAGGAGATGAGTGTTAATTTACATATAGATCGAGGTAGTCCGTGCCTAAAGCGTCAAGTGTCTTTTGGAGACCTTCCGCGACGTTGGGCTGGTGGGTGTTCCACAGTTTGCTGGTGATGAAAATGTTCTCGCGAGGGACACCACTATCCTTGATGCCCTGGCCGACTTCGTGCTCGTTTCCTAGCTATCTCATTAGACGCCAAATCTTGCTTGTTTTTTCTTTGCTACGACCCACCGTAGATTCTGCGATTTATTAGCGACGACTATGCGCTGCAAAAAAGACATGGGAAATCTTACAATGCTGCGTCGATGTGACTATATCCGCTCTTGAGAGCGAACGAGACTGCCTGGCGTACCTGGCCAGGGTCAGATCTCCAAGTGCCTGTAATTTCTTATCAGCGAAAACCGCTGAGGCCCGCAGAAACCAGCGCTTGTATCGTACCAAGTCCTATGGCGGGGATCTGGGCGCCGGTATTAAGCTTGAAATGAGTCGGAAGTGCCATATTGATTGTGGTGGGAGACGATGGTGGTGGGAGACCAAAATGGATGGACCCCTGGCTTTATGCTGCGCTTTCGGAGTGAATCATGCAGGACGCGAGAAGAAGTATGTAAATGGGACCCTATTCTATAATTGAGAGGGTCTTCGCCTGGACTGATGTCAACCGAAACATATCGCAAAGCCTGAAGTAAGTGTTCCCCACAGATCGGACGAAGTCCGATCCGTCCTTCAGCGAAATTTTGCCCGGTTAGCTTTCGGTTCCCACCCGTTTACAGCACAAAGCGCCGCGACTTTCTGAATACAGTAATATTGTGCGCCTGTCCCCATGAGGAGCTGGAACGTTAAAAGGTGGGGTAGACGTGGGGTAGAAGGTTCCCGTCCCACGCAACAGGTGATATCTTGGTAATGGTAGCCACCCACCCCTCATCATTTGACGCTGCTCTCCTGATTGTATTCAATAAGTTTCGCATTTCGAACGCAAGGCAAGGCTTCGGTACCTACATCAAGTGAGAATGCCACTGAATACCCCACCAGCTAAGGCACCCTGTTCGAACTGTCGAGGTGAGGTCGAACCGTCGAAACCCCTGTCTAAAGGTAATCTAGGATAACAAGACCGATAATAGCGAGGCATCAAAAATGTACTTCAAAGAACCCGTCGGCCTGGCCAGTGCTTAAGGTCTTCCGCTGATGTCTCATCTACAGGTGACAAGCGACGGCCAGTTTGTACACGTTGCGAAAGGAAAGGCCTTAACTGTAAGCCTGTGCAGAAGGACGCAGTTTTCCGGAATGGCTCAACGGCCAATTTCGATGCGAGCTTTACACAGGGACAAATATGGGTTAATAGCAGACCGAAGATCTGGAGGCTTCCGAAGCACTCGACAGAAAATCTGCCAAATTCAGCCTCGCCTAATAGGCCAAACGAAGAATCTACCGTTCATTCAACCGTTCATTCACCTTCACCAAATGGAATCATCCATGGTCGCCAGAAAATCACAACCCCTACCTTTCCCTCACAAAGAGGCCAAAATGGAGAACTGGATGAAACTTCTCCTCACAGCGCTTTCCCCTTTACCTTTCCCTCTCCGGCATTGTCGCCCATGAGCAACCACACTCATCATGAGGATACACTTTCTTACTCAGGAGTAGAAAATACCAGCAATGGGCTCAGTATTGGATTTGCCAACGGGTCCCGGAGCGCGAGGAGTGCTGCTGAAGATGATGCATCGTCGCTTTCCAGCAGTCAGCCCGCTCTCACTGCTGCTGCAGGTATCCAGGAATCCTGCCTACTACGATACTTTATTGAGGAGGTATCTCCCTGGGTACGAGATATCACTCTCGCCGTGCAACGCAACACGTACTAACCTTGCCAGTTTGATCACTGTGACGATCGGAGGCATTTCCAGTTAGTCGTCCCCGGTCGGGCTCAGCACTGCCCAACTCTTCGATATGCTATATTTGCAGTATCAGCCCGACACTTGTGTCGACTGCCTCAATACAAGACAAGCCGCGGGATTCTATATGGTGGGCAGCTACTCTCCCACTTACAGACGTCCAGTGCTTTTGAATATATGCTCAAATGTATTCCTGGTCTGGCCGAGTTCCCTAACATCCAGGACCCGACACACCAAGAGAACATCATGGCTGCCGCCGTCATTCTGCGTCAGTACGAGGAGATGGAAGAAGAGACCGGCGAAGGCAGAGGCAGAATCGAAGCTGAGTATTACGATGACGAACGCGTCAACTTTCTGGCTGTCACTCAGAGGATCATTGACTCTATGATCGCCTCTCCGCTGGACCATTCGCTTGCTACGGCCGCATATTGGATTGTCATTCGGCAAGAGATTTATTATGCGTTGACAAGGGAGACGGTCCCGCATTTACGATTCGATTCCGACCGTTGGCGCAATGCTTCAATCGCCAACAATATGATCATGTTCGTCGGTAAAGTCGCTCAGTGGCGCTGGGGGCAAAAGCGCCCTAATGAATGGAGTAAGTATGCTCTATCTTCTAAATAGAGGATTCCTTTTTTGACAACTAGAATTACAGCACGACTCAAGCTGGATGAACAGAAACTGGTTCATGAATCGCTTGGTGAAATGGAACCCATTCTTGAACTCAAGGCAGATCGAGCTAAAGGCCAGATATTTCCGACGATCTGGTACAGCTTCGATGTCCAGGCGACGGCAGTACAGCATTTCCAACTGGCCCAAATGATCTTGACTGCTGAGAATCCGCAACTTGAGTAAGCTGATATCGAGAAGCAAGATGGCTTTCTTCAGTAGCTGACTATGTTTAGAAATGCAAATCGTGCTGCACATCGCAAAGCAGAAGCTCAAGTTCGATCGATCGTCCTCAATCTATGCGGTATTGCTTTGAATCACCTACGAGTGCAACCCTGCCTGGTAAACGCAGTCATTGCTATTACTCTGTACGGTGATTACTTTACCGATCATGAGGAGCGGGAGGCATTAGTTGGCATCATCAACCGGACAAGAGACTTACATGTGTGGCAGATGAAAAAGCCATATCAGACTCTGCTACGACGATGGGAAGCAGCCGACAGTGCAGAGATATGAGGCCTACGAGACGGGGCCCGCCGTCCCCGTCGGCCCTCTTGGTATGGGATCCGGCACACCGTCTCTCCCCTCCCCCCTTCTCCCCCCCAACCAGGAACCGTCATTGTGACTGGAGCAGCCGGAGGCCTTGGCCAAGCAGTTGCGGAAAAAGTAGCGCAGCATCGCGGTGCATATGACTGTCTATTCACTGTTCGCAACAAAAGCTCCCCGCGAGCGCAGCAGCTGCATCAATTTGACGGCTGCAACGCAAAGCAGATCAGAACTCCAGAAGTGGATCTCTCCAGGCTGGATTCTGTCCGGGCATTTGCCAGCGAGGTCAACGCCGAAGTTAAATCGGGAGTTCTCGCTCCAATCAGAGCCTTGATTCTGAATGCGGCTGTCGTTTATGAGACAGGCGAGCTCAGGTTTACTCGTGGTGATGGAGAACAAAGCTTTGAGATGACCTTTGCGGTAAATTATCATTATCTCGCCAACTTTCTGCTTACTCTTTTGTTGCTGGGAAGTTTCGACACAGAACTTGGTCGGATCGTATATGTATCGAGCTGGACCTATGACCCTGATCTGCCTTTAAACAAAGGGCACAACCCAGAGAAGCTGCCGTGGGAACCCGAGCAACTTGCACGCCCAACAGCCAAAATCAGTCCTGGAGACGAGAAAAATGACACAATGAGACGATATGGTGCCTCGAAGTTATGCCAGGTCATGTTTATGTGAGCAATATGGCATATATATACACATATGTTAGTTACAAGTGCTCACAATTCCCAGGAATAGATTACGAGATCGTATAAATACAACGCCATCTCTTAACAAAATTGGTATTATCGGAATTGACCCTGGTGGAATGATACATGATAACCTGTTACATAAGCTTTCTGCTCTTCAGAGATATGTATTAGTGCCTCCAGCCCGGGCATATGCAAAACTTGCGACCTACCTCTGGCCAAATGGAAAACTCAGAACTGTGGAAAAATCTTCGGGTGGTGTTGTGAGGGCAGCATTATCCACAGAGGAGACACAGCCCTGTGCATATCCGGAGGTAGATTACTTTAATGGCAGTCAGCTTGCTGAGCCAGCAAAAGTGTCAAAGGACAAAAAGAAGCAGAAATTACTGTGGCAATTAAGTCTGCAGTATACAAAGCTGGGTGAGAGGGAGACTGCTTTGGGCGAGGCGGACGGTCTCTCTAGGATATGTGGCAATTGAATCACCGGGGCCCATGACAGTTGAAATGCATGTATGGGTGGTGGCGGTACCTAAAAAGATGAGACATGAAAACAAACCGGCCGGATTTTGATGGAGGTTTAATTTGTGTCCTTTTCATTTCTCTTTCTCTCCTTAGACTTGATACCTACATTGAATGGTACAGTTTGATTCCTATCTTGCTCTGGACCGTAACTTGATATGAATATGTGGCCCTCCTGTTAGGTTACAAATATGGCCATCTTTTCCAGCAGTTTAGATCATACGACCTCAGATGTTGGAGAATCGTGGAAGCTCGCACCATGTCTCTTGTTGGGCAGAGGCCAAGGTTAGCACGGACATGCCTTGGTGCCGTAATAAACTGCTTGCAGAAATTTGGAAAGAGGCATTCTCAGCCGTACTCACCCAAGTCGGCCGTTGGCAGAATTTTCTGACAAGCTCCAACCCACATCGTACGGAGTGAAGGCGCTGGGCTCGGGGTTACTACGAGCCGCCAGCGACGATTGGCTACAAGAGAATGTCAAGGGCGTGGGCCAGAGTCTCTGCTGCAGTGAGGCATCCTGTCGTAAGCTGAGTAGTGAGGTTTGCCTTCCCAACCAATGTGACTAAACGGTTGTGCCATTCGTGCTTATTATGGCGTTGTATCGTGCTCACGGGTATACAGCTAATAGCGCAGTTTCTCATTTGATGGCGGGCCATAGCTGGTTGACTACTATAGACCACGAGGGTGGTCTAAAGATATTGCACCTGGTGTGGGACGGGCGCGAGGCCTGAAGGCGAGAAACGAGCATTGAAGCTTGTTTGTGGAGCAACTTACTCCGTACAAACGGTTGGAGATCAGCGGATGGTGTCAGCAACCAATAAAACGAGCTTTTTTCCCGCAGCCAATGAAAAGTCTCCGCGTCCGCGGAAACAAGTACGCCGTATCCGTATCCGTATTTGCTGCGAAGGCAGGCTTGCTGTCGGCGGATCTCCTGTTTTACTACCACGCTAAAATTTACTTGAGTAGTATGGGTACCATCCTATCCTAGCTTGTGCATATAGCAGAAAGTTAGATCGAGCTCTTGAAACAGCGGCGGCCTGAGGCGCTTGTCATATTCTCGCACTACTCCGCTCTCCTACATAGCCTCTGAGACCTTTAGGTTTTTGGCGACGCAGGAGGGTTTTTCGTCCGCTCCACGAGAGCATATCTCGGACCTTACTGGAGGCCATGGCTATCGTGGCCGAATCAGATTGTAAACGCTAACGGGGACCATGAAGGGCTATCTCTCGGCAGTATAGACGACTTCCTGCTTCCTGCGAGCGCCAAAAGGTACTGCTAGGTCTGAAATATCTTCTGTGGCACAAGAGCGCGGAAAGAAGGAATGGGGTAATAGTAAGAAAGAGGACCCAATTGTGAATATTAAGATTTGTACATTAAGCCTCTCCAGTAGACCCAGGAGCTATGACGTGTATGCCATTCGTGCCAATTTTCAAGGTGTCTACTAGAGTAGAAGTTGACAATCGTTGATTTCGTGTTTAATGTTCCCAGCATAAAATGAAACGCCACCATCCCGTGGCATTCCACGGATTTCATTTCCACCTATTGGTGCTAAGCAGTGGAGGAAGTGAAGTCCCAACCTGCAGACGTTCCTTGGCGCCGCAATGCGGGATGTATGGTCATGAGTACCACCCTAGGAAGTATGTTCTACCGAGAAACGGACGATTCCATTGGCTTTTGGTCAGAACTTGCTTTGATGGTGAAAATTATAAATACCACAGCCCAGCGTGGATAGTAGTTAGAGTTACTCACGAGCAAACCTGATAATTATGGCTCAGATGAGGACAGTGGCAGTCGTTGGAGTAAGGCACTATGCACTCATCAATCCCACATTGACTGCGGAACTGATCATAATCCTACCTCAAGGCGTCCGGAAACCTAGGCTTCTACGTTGTCAAAGCGTTGTTAGCAGCCGGTTTCGTTGTCACCGCTGTGATTCGAGCGACCTCAGAAGCTCCTTTCCCCGCCGAAGTCATTGTTAAAAAAACCGATTTCGCAACGGTTGAGTCCGTTGCAGCTGTGCTGGAGGGCCACGATGTCGTGGTATCGACCTTGGGAACGTTTGCAATCAGCATTCAACGCCAGCTCATTGATGCTGCTATAGCGGCGCGTGTCCAGAGGTTCATCCCATCTGAGTTTGGTGTCGATACGAGAACCCTTGGTTCCTCCAAGTTAGCGGCGATTGTATCGAGCAAATTAGAGATCATCAATTATCTAGAGGAGAAGAGTGGACAGCATGACGGCTTCACTTGGACGGCCTTAGCCACGGGTTCATTTTTCGAATGGGTGAGTACACACCCAGGCAGCTTCAGCAGTATTTTCAGTTGTGCGGAAGTCATGGCTCCTGAATCTGCTAACATGAACTCCCTATAGGGCCTTAACCGTGGTACCTTTGGAATAGACCTAGTTGCTAAAACGGCCACTATTTATGACTCCGGAAACGAACCCTTTTCTCCATCCACATTCAGTTTCGTGGGCCAAGCTGTTGCAGCGAGCCTTGTACAGGCAGACAAAACAAGAAACAAATATCTTGCTGTGGCTTCTTTCACAATAACGCAAAATGAGCTGCTAAAGGCCATCGAGGAAGAGAGCGGGTCAAAGTTCGTGGTCGAACACGCATCAACTCTCGAGTTGGAGAAACTTGCCCTCGAAAAACTTAGCAAAGGTAACCCGACTGGAGTCGTTGACTTGATGAAGGTATACCTCTTCAAAGACGGGGGTGCACACCAACTGGTGTTCGAGGGTAGCGGGAATGATATTCTGAAGCTACCAGAAGCTGATTTGCATGCCGTTTTGAAACATGTCTTGAATACCGCTGAATTTTAAGGGCTTCAAGGAGGACGGGAGGAAAGGATTACTGTTGGACTTACTATCACAACGGCAGCGGAAGGACTACATATTATATTACTATCAGGAGATTCAACCTAAACCTCGTCTCTTAATTCTGTAATAATGGCGAATCTCACATATCCCCAGCTTTTGAGCTGTCAAAAATAGGCACACCGGTTCTTATTTACGGCCCCAAGAGATCTTCTGTATACTTAGGAGCTAGTCCGCGCGGCTCTCCACGAAAACCAAGGGGTTTTCAACTACCTCCATCTTATCATTTAACACAATGCGAATGGTGAAGATGGAAGTCCGTATCCAAGAATTGATATTCTTCATCAGCGGTACTATGTACTGAGCATCTCTAAATATCACGGACCCGTCATACCTCGAAATGTATGAATTCTCCTCTAATACTACGTGCTTTTTTCGATGCTACATATGTGGACTACGCATTTCCATTCCGCACAGGCTACCAACGGCATCACTGGGCTGGAGTCGAGGAGCTTAGCCGCCAATATATAATTCATATTACTTTTGAGCCATTCTCGCCTCTCTTATACAATCAAAAGAAGAAGCATATTAACAGGTAGTTAGCTACTGGAGAGGGAATAGTATGCAGGATGGCCTAGAGTGATTCTAGTCTGAGAATGAGGTCCATGAAGCTCAAGATGCTCTACCTATAGGATCTAGCACTCTCTGCAGTTCGACCACGCGTACAAGCACCACCACAGTGTTCTAGTTGTTATATTCGGCGGTATACTAGAGCTACATGTCCTAATCCACTTAGTAATTAGCTTTTATATAGAAATGCAATTGTATTGTTGAAAAGGCCCTTATATGGTCCGCGGGCGTGAGTCGGTGGGTGGTGACAGTCGTTGTGGCGACTCAACTCGGTAGTGAAATACATTGGCTGTTAACTAACCAGACAGTGTCTGTCCGCTTAGATAGGCATAGTGAATGCCAAATGAAGAAGACAGTCATGCATATCAAAGACTGAGGCTTCGGGCGCCTAATTCCACCAAATTTCTGGTAGTCTGCTGTTAAGCTGAGATTTAGTATTGCGGTAAGAGGTGTCTAAGGCCTTCGGTTGTACATACTACGAGATAGCCCTGTATGTTAGAGGCGGTTAAATACTTGTCTATCAAGCAGATACTAGTAGGATACAGAACTAAAATTGTGCCTTAGTTATTTTCCCAGGTGGGGAGGTGCAGCAGAAAGTGCCCAAGTAGCAGAAACATAATTCAAGAGGTCCGTACCATTCCTCCCATCTCGTTCAGTTTGACCCTTTCAGGAACATGCGAGTCTGCGTATATGTCGCTGGGAAGCCTGGCTCCAAATGTCACCATCGCTATCCACATGAGAGTCCCGTCGAATACATATGCCGGCCACTCATGTTGTAGCAGGTATCCGTCATTGCCCATAACGTATTCTGCAACCCTGAATAGAGACCGGACCATGATCAACAGGCTGACTAGGTACAGGGTATTGAGGTGCCACTTCCATTGTAAATCTTCAGAGAAGGCCTTGTGCGTTGGGTTTCTATGCATTCGGACCTGAAATATCACCATGCTGGCAATGAAAAATCCAAGGAAAACGACCTGGATAATCAAACCAAGAATAACAAGCTTATTTCCCGTGCTAGCAAGGTCACTGGAGATCATCATGCCAGCAGCACCGCCCTGTATCAAAAATGACAAGACATCGCCGGTGACAAAAGCCTTCGTTAACCAGCGGACGGGTATAAGCGAAAGCCTTTCACCCTTCAGTGCGATAATAATCCTGCCCAAAACCATGTATACTGAGGCAGCGAAAAGGGCTGGACCGAGTAGTATGAAGACGTTCTGGATGCAAAAGGGCATCATCCGTCCGGTTTTGTCGTAAGCTGACGCTCGAGCACAGTAACCAATGAATTCAACTGATATTGTTAGTATGTCCACTACCTCTGTAATGGGTGATCGTCCAGGTGCACTTACAGAAACCCCCAATGGCGAAGCAAATGCAGAAATAGGTCTTTAGTTTCCATATTTTCCAGGTGTGATATGTAGTCGCTGCTAGGAAGAGCAAGAGAAAAACTACCGCCGCTGCCCTCGAGGGGACGTAGTGCCAAAGATAATAGCCCTTGTACGTTTGAAGTTCGGGCATTATATGTGTCACTTGCGCGGTTTGATACTGACCCTGTGAGGAATTGCGAGCCACGGTCTTTGGTCGAATGTGAATGATAATACCGTTCGATGGAGACTGTAAGGTTGTGGTTAGGGTTAAATTGCAGGATATTCGAATAATTATATACTCCAATATGTAGAAGATAATATACCCAAGCGGCGACGCAAAATTCACAAGGCCCCACAGCAGGGCATCTTCAATTGCGGTTGATATTAGTCCTGCACCTCATGTGGAGATTCCTTGTAGTTTCCTGTATACACGTATCAGGTTTCAGATTGAGATCAATCTTCTATAATCATAATCAGTATACGGAGTGTAGCTAATGAACCCAACTAGGAAAATCCAACATCATTATCACGGAACGTTAAAGTTTTCCTGTTATTGCAGATCATAAATAGTAATAAAGCTGCCTACAATAAGGGCTAGGTTGGTTTAGGTTCTGGTGCTAAGATTTTAAGTTGAGATGGGGACCCCTAATAAGGGGCCAGCCATCTGGTTCTCTTCCTGGTATTCTCAGATTTCTAACCTATGGCAACGCGATCTTGATAATGATGGCCCGTGCATACGCCGGTTTATTGGAAGATCCACATACTCCACTCGTTTCAGTGTGGGCCATATTGCCACAACAAGCTGAAAGCCATCCACGTATGCACAGGCCATCATGCGCTGCCAAATCGTAAGCCAAGAGCGTTTCAGAGGTCAATCTTAACAATACATCCCATTCCAATCATGGAAACCAAACAATTCTGTATCGCTATTTTTTAATACACTCCGTCATTCCATTCATGCAGAAATTAAAAACTCCTGGTCCGCTATTCGGAGGGTCAGCTTGTGCCGCCGAGACACGGGGTTGCTGGTTCATCTAAGATGTGATTCGGCCATGAGAGCCATTCCGCCCACTGCGGCCCTAGATACCGGTCGATGGACCGGATTAAGAATCTGCCACCATCACCAAAAACCCACATGTCGCGGCAGGAGTGCAGAATAACTGCATAATGCGCTAGAATAACAAGTGCTTCCGGCCTACGGTGCACTAGCATGTTGGTATACTCCAAAGAAACAATGATCGGCCAGGCAAGAGCACCATGTATATTACCGACGGCCGCATCAGATTGAGAGGCATTGAATGATGATTGCAAAGTCTCGATCGCTTGCTCATAGGTTTCAGTAATTGAAGGGCCTAGCTTGGAGGCTTTGATAAGTTCATGAAGGCGGCTGCACACCAGTCCTTCCCTCATATAATTTTGTAGGCGTGCCTCAGCTTCATTCAGAATTGGCGAGAGTGATGTCTCTTTCATCTGATTCCAATTGCCTCCAATGACTGTACGGACTCCACGGTGGATACGGAGATAGTGGATGAACCGGTCTAGAAAGGCTTGAAAATCATGGTCTCGATATACCAGTGTGTCGCAGATTAGATGCATACCCAGGATGGATGAGAAGATGAATGCCGGTACCTGTGATTTAATGTTGAGATCTGAGTCGGTCTCATAAAACATCCGAAGTGCATGGTTCTGTAACTGCGTCGAATGGTGTCTATAGAACTCATTCTGAGTCTCACGAATGATACTAAGGTGTATAGCAGCGAGGGCCAGTAGCTCATTCATTAGATAGGGGGCAGCCAGTCCGTACTTCATCGCCTCTTTGTGTAAAAGGATTAGGTTGTTTCCACCCATGGACAGGGAAGGTAATGTTTCTGCAGACAGATGGTAGAGCAGCTCGGCATGAAGCATATTGACAGGCGGGTCTGGCTGGATTAAAGACGCAAAGTCCGGTGGCAGGTTGGACGAGTCGGTTGATACAGGTGGGGAGGGTGTCCTCTTTCTGCTGATCCTGCTGGACTGCATAACTTTAATCGTCATTTCAGGATATTTGCATAGCCGTTCTGAAGATATGCAGTGTGAGCATATTGGCCGGCTTTCATCGCACTATGTATCATTAGGGACTTGTCTCAACAACAATGGGTGTTGTTTACCTTGATGTGGCGGCGCTTACATTCGATGCAGCCATGCCGCGATTTCCTATGCGTCCTCCGCGGCATGTGTACAGTGATGTTCTATCGCGAAGGAGTTGCTGAGTCAAGCTAAGACTGGAAGCTAGATATGGTCATTGGCTGCGATGAGGAAGCAGGAAGCCGCCTCCTCAAATCAGGTTGCAACGTGTCGTTAGACGCCTGGAACAAATAGAACTTTATGGGACTGGGAATCCAGCATCCATACCGCCCTATCAGGATTAGCATATGATCCGCGCCGAAATCGGCCATGGAATTTTGCCGTGCTGCCAAAAATGAGAAACCCTCATTGGAGTGGACAATTTCTGACTAATATTCTGGCACTGTTCACCCAGTGGGGTGTGAGAGGATAGTTCTGTAGCCATATTTTATAGAAATCCTTCTGATGTAAAAACCGACTCGAATTCAGCTAAACATCATAACAATTCACTTTGGACTCTTGTAACAGCCTAGGTCTTTTATATGTAATCCTGTCATCGTCTGACATATACGCACGACTCACAGATTTAAACTTCTCGACAACCAGTCCAGCTTGAACGTCTTTTGATATCCAATCTACAACTGAATAAGACATACAGTTGATCCACAGTTCTCATTGGATGGGATATTGTGCATATTTGCTGACAGACGCGGAAAGGCGGCGCGTTGCACACGGTATTGTAAAGATCTAGTGGAGTAGGACCCCGAGAGGTTAAGCACAATGACCATGCGTGAAGCTTGCAGGATTAGCGATGATTGTGTTGGCGGCGGATGGAGTTATTAGTGACAGGATATGACAGCAGACACGAGTGCTAACAACCATGAAGAACTCCGCCATCATCAGACGGTTCTTTGGACGTTGCCCCCACGCAGGCTATGCATACTGGGAATCAAACCAGGACTTTTGACTATGTACGCCATCAGATCGGCCGGCCAAGTGTATAGGAGGAAAAGACAGGATGTGAGACACGTGAAGAAATCTAAGTTCACCTGGCACGACCAGACAAATCCGAGATCAAAATACGCGTATAGACGATAAGACCCACCCACTAACGTTAATAGGATGGTTTCTAAGGTTCTATTGCGGATTAGCCTGCTTATGTACAGTGGACATATTTTACATAATGTAAAGTCTTGTTTAAAAAAAGGTTCTCCAAGGTTTGTCCGGTCCAAGTATGGTGACCTATTTGAGCAAGTGTGCAGGACTACCGACGGGAGAGTCTCCTGAGAATCACACTGTAGCGCAAAATCACTGCGCTACATGAATAAAAAATCTAGCTAAAGGGAATCTACGCTATTCACAGATAATTCCATCCACGTCAGAAGAAGGCTCTGCGCTGGTTTGTCGCAGCGGGCTCTTGCGGATACGCGTATACACGTTACTTGGCGGGAGGTCGATCAAGCGGAGGCCGTCACTCTGGGAGTATTTCMGCCTGGGCGGCAGGCACGAAAGTTAATTTCAAGTCATGTACATATATAGTTATATATTTGACCTTGTCAGCCAGTCTCGGATACCCCAGCTCATGTTTTATTGTTAGTTTTAAAATGAAGATGGTAGCCTTCTCCCGCGCTTTGCTCTCCTTGAGCACCATTTTTGTCAAAATAGCATCCGCTTCCAGATGCTCGCCAGCCTTTATCGAAAAGCCAAATTTGTCTGGAGCTTCAATTCTCGATATTCAAGCCCAGGAAGCCCATAACTTTTCCGCCACTAGCCTTGGCCCAGGAACGAACGAAGGCGGCCGATATACGATCAGTTTCTGCAACGTTACCGTTACCCACACCCATCCGGGCTGGAATGACACAATCTATACTCAAGTATGGCTCCCGCTTCGGGAATGGAATGGCAGGTTTCAAGCCTTGGGTGGTGGAGGCTACGCTACAGGTTTTGGCGAGACCTACCTCACATACGCTGTCGCAAGAGGATTCGCATCTGCCTCTACTTATGGGGGGGTACCGGTGGCAAATGGGAAAGACACTATGCCTACGGACCTGTCATGGGCTCTTAGTAGCGAGAACAACGTGAACTGGTCCCTCCTAGAGGATTATGCATCGAAGGCAACAATCGACATGGCCGTGATTGGACAGCAGATTACCAAGTCCTACTACGAAAAGCCCGCAAACTATTCATATTTTGCCGGATGCTCTGGTGGTGGACGGCAGGGTCTCTTGATGGCACAGAAGTACCCCGATGTTTTCGATGGGATATTAGCTGTCGCCCCGGCTCTCAATATACAACGCTTCATTCCTGCAGGCTTCTGGGCCTCACAAGTCATGAACGAAATTGGAGTTTATCCATCGCCCTGCGAAGTCAGATCTTTTGTCAAAGCAGCCGTTGAGGCTTGCGATCGACTAGATGGAGTTGAAGACGGTATCATTAGCTCCCCAGACCTCTGTCAAGTTAATGCTTCCGACTTTGTTGGCAAGAGCTACACTTGCAACGGAATTCCGAAAACCTTCAGTGCTTCCAGCGCGAAGGTTATCCAAGCTGCTTGGTCTGGCTCTCGCTCCGTCTCTAAGCGCGATGGTTGGTATGGGGTCAACAAAGACGCAGCGCTCGGCACTACCTATGTCCCTACCGCGTGCCCTGCGAACAATACATGTTACTCTTCTGGAAGTGACTTGTTTGGCAACTGGCTCAAGTATCTTGTTGCTAAGGACTCGAGCTTTTCAACCGGCAACATGACTCAGGAGGAGTTCTTCGAAGGCCTCCGCTCTTCAAACATTGATTATTCAGCGATGCTCGGGACGAATGACCCCGATCTCTCCAACTTCAAGGCAAATGGCGGCAAAATGATCACTTGGCATGGGATGGCAGATGAAGCTATCCCACCGCTTGGAACGATTGCCTACTACGAGGAAGTGCTGAAAAACGATCCAAAAGCTCATGACTTCTATCGCTTCTTCGAAGCGCCTGGTGTTGGCCATTGCTACGGTGGACTTGGGCCTATTCCAAACGGAGCGATGTCCCAACTGCTTGAATGGGTTGAGAACGGCCATGCCCCTGCTGTTCTGCATGCCACTAAAGGTAGCAACAACACAGCGAGAGACCTTTGCCCATATCCTCTTCGGCAGAAGTACATTGGGGGAGATCCCAGAAATGCAACCTCCTTCACCTGTGCAAAATAGAGTTTCCTTTTCGAAGACTTGACCTGGGTTCTGACCGATAGTCCATAGTAATTATCAGCAAGTTTCATTCCGTCCATCGACACATATCATTCCTTACCTTTGTACCACCACATTTTATTTTCTTTTCCTTTTCATTTCTGGTCTTGTGTATATATCTTGGTGAATAGCCACCCCCTAATTCAATCTCACCAATGTGTATTCTAAGATGTGTACCGCGGACTATTCCACGTTTTAACGAACTGAAAAATCGATCTTGATATTCCATCTTAGGACAGCAGCTCTGACCTCGTAATGCTTTTCCTTGCGATGAAACTTAGCACAACTGCCCCTCCTCTAGCAAGGGACATCACAGAAAACTCGCTCTACCTAATATATAAAAAGCTTCTTGGCCACACCCAAGCTTCAAGTGTGGTATCACTACATTCCTCCCAAGCTATGATCTTGTTGGCACTGTACAAGTACAGCCACTCTACCTCCTGCGGCACGGATGACAACTGGCGGCTTGTTCTCGGTACAATGACGTGCTTTGGCTTTCTACTTCTAACTTGTTCACAAGTAAGGAAGGCCTGTGTATGTGACTTCTCTCCCTCCCCCCTTCCCATCTTTTCCATCCATCTTAGTCTTTTCTAACAGTCGCACCAACAGACAACTTCGAAAAAGTTGAAGAACGAGGGCGTATATGGTGGGCGATCACTGGTTCTGTCTCCACAGACATTAATGGGGAACGTCAAGACCCCAACCTTCGTGTGCTGCATGCGTTGTCCAGCACTATTATGAACAGACCGCCAGCTTTGAGTGAGGTCACATCGGCGGAAAAATGGCTGGGAAAAATGCCTGTTATCTCTTACACAATCCATGGACAAGCTACCCTGGTGGACCACTGGTCAGATCCCCATTACTTTACCGCCGCTTTTCCAACCTTATTTCCAGCCGGGATCGGTGGCCATCTCGACGAGCGAGCCTTCCCGGTGTCGCTTGGGGCGTTTGCCGAGTGGGCTTTGAGCCACCATAGTAGAAGGTGCCTCCCCTCTATCAATGATGGTACGTCTTACTAATGCGCGTAGATTCGCTCGCCATAAAACCTTCGTGTACCTGTTATATGATGTGATCCAACTCCGGAAGTCGTCGATAGGCAACGCGTTCCTCATCAAACGCCAGGATTGGCACTCGGTAACCAAGGATATCACCTCTCTGACAGTAACGCAGCTCCAAAGTGCAACACAGACAGTCGCGATGGGCCAGAAAATTGAAGATTCGATCATTCGACGACTGCCACGTAATATCGTGACAATCGGCACGCAGGTCCCAGGATCCTTTGCTCAGAAACTCAGATTACGCTCTGAAATTCGAGGGTTAATTACCCGATATGGCATATTCCGATTCTCATGCATATAATATGCACTGCCCGAAGGCCGCTCTCCCTACAGTCAGCTTACTGGGAATAGTCCGAAGCGGAGAAGGACAGTTAAATAACGGATCTACTCTGTTGCATTACGACCTGGAGACTAATGTCTATAATCCCTCTAATAAGGCGTCTGTGGCATTTACAGTTTCCATTTACTTCAGGAACGGCAACCGTTGGACAAATTTTCCGCTTCTTGCTAGACAGTCCCGCATATTTATCACTGGGAGAATCTTCGGCATCACTACCAACACACCTCGACTCGCAATTGGCGTGGATGATGTTTATTTTATTCCAAATCTGGGCTCCATTACGACAGCACCGGTGACTCCTACTTCGTCCGTGGGAAAGCAGAAGCAAGCAGATAGATGGAACAGCCGTGCCAACCCAATGACTCCAATAAAGAGACCTCGAATGCTGATCTCCAGCTCGGATTCCCAACCACAAGACGACGAGGTTCAAAACTACCTCTCTAGTACGGCGCATCTTCCAATAGAATCTGAACTCTGCGACGAACCCATCAATAAGGATATAACTACCGACCAACTGACTCGCCTGGAAGACGGTTCGTCGGCTGACACGATCCTCCAGGGACGTCGACCTAAGAGAACTCGTAAATTCTCTAAGGCAGATTCACCTTTATAATCAGCTTATCTATAGTATTAACTATCAAGCTATCTGAGTTGTTTTAAATTGTTTCTGGTATATAAGAAATTCGACGGTAACGCATCGTATACAAAGGAGAAGAATATGTTACAGTAAACTCCCGTTTTCGGCACGGGCCTCCGTGCGACAGAATTTCGATGTGCCTTATGAAAGTGTGCCGCTAGTATTGCACTAATTCTAATATAGTAAGAGCTAGTCTGTTTTTGGTCTAGAGTGGTCTGCAACTTCCTGTGTTTCCTCCCATCAAAAGAGGTAGTAGACAGAATATATATATATGCACATTGTGTAGGAAATTTGACATCTACTGTATTAGAGCCAAACCCGAAACAGCAATCATACGGGTACGTTGAATCTACTTTGATTGGGCCTCCAACGATTTAGGAGACAAATCAAATGACGCACGACCAGCCGTCCATAAGTATCAGCAGCGAGAGTCAGCACTAGTCTCGAATTGACATGAGCTGACACCGCCTGAGAGTTATAATGTACGCAATCAGAAATAATGGCTTGGTTTCCTCCCAGCACAAGAATCATTTGAGATCCTTGCATAGCTGCTTGAAGCTGTTGAATCGTCTTTTCTCATCATGCCAAAAACAGCAACCGTGGATTGGGAGCCACTGAATGCCAAACCTGGGGCTTTACTCGAACGACCCGCTTGTAAGGCAGGCGATTCTCTGACCAGTTGGGCTCACTGACAACACAATAGGCCGATATCAGAGACAATTCTCTCTCTTGAATCATTTTGGTATGCAAGCCAATGTGATCATTGCTGCCACCTTCACCAATACAAAGGCTGGAAGCATCGTGCTTTCCAAAGAACTCATATACGCAGCCCTGCAACACGTTGTTCGAAAATACCCTGAGCTTGGGATAACTACTTTCTGTCGTCCTTCAGAAACAAAGACTGGGCAACATCGGCGCTGGTCGGCTTTCCTGCGGCAGATCAACCTGGATGCCCATGTGAAGTTCATCAATATTCCAGCAGAGGAGGAAGTAAAAGGATTGACTGCAACCATTGAGAATTATCATGGCCTTTGGTTTGAGCCATCGATAAGACCTGCATGGCAGCTGGTGATTGTTAACGGAAGACACATACTGTTCGTTTACGATCACTACATCACCGATGGGCGCGGCGGTACATACATATTGGAGAGTATCCTGGAAGCCCTTAACTCCCCCAAAGAAGAATTTGTCAACTCTTCAATCGTCGAGATTTCAACAGACGTCAAGGGTTTCCCCGAGGAAGATGCAATTAAGCGGGCCCCCGTTCCGGTTTCCGTCCTGTATGCCGTCTTGAACTATCTTCGTTTCTGGGGCATCTGGCTGTTATACCGGCAAAAGGACCTCTTCTTTCACGAAATCACCCCCAAATTTCGTAAGCTGGACTTCAACAACCCGCAGAAAGAGGATAACCTCGTCAAGACGCGACTTCACACTCTTCGCCTCGATGCCGCTACGATGAAAAAGTGCATTCAGGCCTGTCGATCCCACCGAACATCTTTTACCAGCCTCCTGCACACCCTTATCAAAGTGACATTAGCAGCGGATTTCTATCCTGAAGCCAAATTCAGTCACTCGCAGGTAGTTGTTGATCTCCGACCATTTTTGAAACCCCACGATAGGGAACAGACCGTGGGCAATGCGGCTTCTGTCGTGTCGAGCTACGACTGGCTTTCCAAGTTCCGACAGGCAGGACAGCAAACAGCTTCGAAAGAGCACACATCGCTTGAATCAAGTCTCTTCTGGGAGCTAGCGCGCAAGCATCGAGCGCATGTCATCAACGATCTCAATCACAAAAAGACGTTCTTGAGAGCTTGGCAGTCTATCGAGCTTATAGGGGAAGATGAAGAAGACTATGTTGCCGGCTTTTTACCGGGGTTGAAACTTTTCCATCGTAATGCTTTCTCTATCTCCAACCTAGGTGCTTTTCGCCCGAGTGTATCGGTCGGCCAAAACATGCACAGCGGAAATTGGACCATCACCAATATGGAGTTCTCCGCGGGTGCTGTCAAAGCCGGGTACGCAGCCAACTTGATGTTCAATGTGGCAGGTGTTCAAGATGGTCCAACTACCATTCATGTTTGTCATGAAGAAGGTGCCTTCAGAGAGGAGTTTGTCAATTCGCTTCTAGAGCGGATTAAATTGCGGATGGATGCCATCATCTGAGTGGGCTATAGTAAATCCTCAACGGTTCTCAGCTATCCAATAGATTTATGCATTCAAAGTTTGAGATGTATGACAGAAACCAACAAGCGATATTAAACAAGACTACACCAACACTGAAGAGGTCAACCTTATTTGATTATCTAGAGTTTGGACAGTTGGGTGGACGATAAGGGTTGCAAACAAGACAATGAATGGCTGTGCGCTGAGGGTTCAGCTAGTTTGTAGGGTAGCCAAGTCTCAGAATCGCAAGCATCTGGTCTTTCTGATTCCTTATTTGTTCAGGATCGATTCTAGGCTTGTACATTGGTCTTCCTTGCAAACTCCTTTTCGGTTCTCTCACCCATCACAAGTTCTAGTCATAGTTATGGTTATTACTAACATTAGTGGTATCTGTAGTACCTTGGGTACTTTGCTCTGCTCTTAGGTGCCTCCAGTAGCACTAATATTCTCAGTACTGAAACCATACCCCTAGCTTAAGCAGATGAGGATCACATGCTCCAAAAGTACCCGCGTCATAAGAGTATACATAGTAGTAGACTTTGCAAGCTAGCTAGCTGCAGCTAACAAGTGTGACCTTATTGAATGCTATCTATGGTATAACACTGATCTCTTAACAAAGGACTAAATACATGACCATACAAGTTGTTTTCACCCGAGGCCAATCTGGAGACATCCCTGGAATGGCGTACTGCGCTCACGCTCAGAAAATACTCCATTGTTACAGCTACACGGCAAGGCCTCAGAAGCAACGACCCTTGATAATTCTATTTAGGTTGGCCCATTCTGTAAATTACCTAGGATTCAAGACTACCTTCATCAGAAGACTAGAACGCAAAATCCAACTTCAATTTTTGGCTTGTGGGGTCAATCCCGCCTTCTCAGTGTCGTTGATCTTGACTAGACTGATGCTATAGCCGCATTGATCTCGGCTGGAAATGTTTGGCTTTGTAGCCCCAGGCTTTTCATTTAAAACTATAATGCCGTGTGTTCGAGGCTGGCCTGTAATTCACACATTTACTATATATAACTCATGTCATTTTAAATAGTTTTATCTGCTTCTAGGTTATCAGCATAGGACCTATGCTTTTTAAGCATACTCTCTTTGCTTCTGTTATTTGTTACTTTGTAGCTAGTCTAGTCTAAAGAGTATAAGTTTACCCTTAATTCTTGCTCTAGAATATTAATCTATTCTAGTAATGCTCCTTAACTTATTAGGGAATGGATAGCTTATGCTGCTAATTTTCCCTTGATATAATATGCTTGACACTATAAAAATAAGAAAGGTCATGTTAGGTGATCTAAATTAGCCGCTGGTGAATACCTCTAAGTTGTAACCTGCTAAGCCTTCTTTCGCTAGCCCATATCAGGCAATTGAGTTGTTGGCCCCCGAGCGTACATAGTAGCTAGGGCTAAAAAGCCTAAAGAGAAGATCGGATACAACCGTCAAATAAAATTAGACATTGACCTCCACCAGCCAATCAGTTCCATATGAGGCAATTAAGATGTACGGCCAATCAAATAGGCAGTACGGTCTATTTATTTGGTCCCAGTCTATAAACTCGCTCGTCAGCTCAGCCATATAGACGTAGGATCATCAACCATAGCCCGAATAGTTAACATCCTCGGAGCTAGATGACCTCACCGCACAGTAGCTGTGACGCCCGTTTTCAGTTAATTCTATTTGATGGTCTGTTCTCTTTTGCTTAAATAACCAAATGTGCACTGATCAGTGTTGTTGTATACAGTAAGATGATGATGGCCATTTGGTTTAGCCTCCCCTATCCCTATCATGCACTCGAAAAATGGACTGGCTGTAGCGAGTCCTCCGGGCAACATAAAATAGTCAAGACTGGGGGCGAATCCTGAATCAAAACCAAAAGTCGCCTAGTGTAATTTTGGAATTCCTTTCTGCTCAGCAGTTGAGTAGATATTTTGCTTGGATGATATTCGTTCTTCTAAGACTATCTATAGTTTACATTACTTGTCTCCTATCAGTGCGCTTTTTCTGCATCGCATGGAACCTACAGCAATATCGATGAACTGATGAAGCTTTGCTAGAATTTCAAGCTTGCTACATTGTATCTGAGCAATAAATTCGGATTTAATGACCTCACTCTGCGATTTCATGTTCTTTCTCCATCCTCCAACACCGCGCGGATTTTAGATTGATATTCCCCTGAAATTAGAAATTCACCCCCTCGGGCTTCTGTTCCGGGTCCTCGCGGGATTGAGGAGTGAGTTGGACAAAGTCCGGCTCCAAAACAGCCAATATACCCAAGACCATGGTGATTGCCAAGGCAATGATTTCTTCCAGCACCGCCATGCATAGATAGACGGTTGGATTTCCGTCCAGAGAGAAAGTATCCAGAGAAGTGTAATCGCCGAGGACCGAGTAGATCAGCCGGGGCACCAAGAAGGGGGTAGACAGGGCAATGGCGATAAAGAGTTTCTTCTGGAATCGTCGCAATGAACCGCTGAGTTCCAAGAATAACCAGACACTCAGTACGAGGAAAAGCACGAAGACGGCGAGGAAGATGCCCATGGCGGCCTTGGCGAGTCCGCCGGGTGGATAACCACCGGAACTGACTCCTGCGATACCAAGAATAAGGCCAATGAAGGTGATTAACGTCACTAGTTTCATCGGCCTGGGCGGCATTTTCTCGTCCACATCACTGAGAGCACAACTGTTAGTCTGCGTTTTGGTGGGATGGAGAACTTCTGCGGTCGCCAGCTTACATTTGACGCAGCAGTCCGATAAAGGTTAGCAGCAAAGGGGCTAGACCGATCAACTGACATACTGCCTCAGCCACTTTGATGTTGTACGAGTCGTTATTGATCGAGAGCAACGAAGAAATACTGCCGGCAATTCGAATGAGCGAGAGTGTGACGGGAAATCGCCAGATCTTGCTGCCAACCCTCCAGCCTGATCGCTTCCAGATGAAAATGGCAGCAACGAGGATGATGGGGAATATGATGAGCTGGAGGATTGCAATGCCGTTGCGGTAGGTGACCTTTCCCATGGCGGTGCTGTAGTGGTAGGAATAGTAGAAGTTATAGTAGTAGTAGTAGAAGAAGAAGAAGAAAAAGAAGAAGAACAATTAGTGTATGGACAAGTATGTTAGGCTGGAGACAACACTGCTTGATGTGTCCATCGAACAAGGCAACAGCTGCTCCCTTTTAAGTCCTTGGGATTAGAACATGGTAAACTCGATGTCGAGGTCATGGAGATCACAGCCCTACTGATATTGAGATGGTGAGTGGACCAACATCTAGATTACCGTAAGAGGATTAGCGCGTGTGCCGTCATTCAGGAGCTGAGATCTCGGGAGAAGCCAGCCGCGAACTCCTCCAACACCTCCTCGTCCATTGCTTAGATGTAACTACCCCCGGTGGGGCTCGATAAGGAGCCATTTAGGCGTTCAAGGCGAACTCCAAGGCGCACTTCCCTTTTCATCTCCCGAGAGCCCCAAAGCAACTAAAGTAAAAGCTTGGGCTAGTTCTCTTCGGGTAGATGGGATGTTGCGATATACCCACAGCCACAGTGAGATTCAAGCTCATGTACTAGCCGCATGGAGCGCTCCGGCGCCAGCGCTAGTGCTTTTCGGGCATGTAAGATGCTCGGCCAATGAAAGGGGACATGTCGACGGGTCAACCACTCTGGGAGATGTTAGGTATCTCTGCTTTGTCGTCCAATACATCACCTGGGTGGCTATAAATAATGGGGACAGCCGACAACGAGCTCTCCATGACGCGGCAGCAATTTCTTTCTTTCCTACGTACTTCTACTTGTGACGTTCAAACCCCGAGCCATGGTGCACATATCTTGTTGTCTAGCGAATGCCGCACCCGCATTGGTGGCCCTATTGAGCCTAATTTTCACCACATCAGCGACACCTTCGGAGTACAACAGTCACACTGGACAATCTTCTTGGCCGTCGGCGAAAGAATGGGCGAGCTTTAATAGCAGTCTATCTGGCAGATTGCACCGCACAATTCCCTACGCCGCAAGCTGCTATTATAGTTCTCCATACTACGACCCTTCAGCTTGTGTGGTCGCCGCAGAGAACTACACAACAAACCAGGCACGAACCGATGTATACGGCGCAGCGACATCCCTCAACTGGGAAGTTTGCCATACCGAAACATGCGCACTGAATGCGGTCAGACCGTTCGAATCCCTCTCAGACGACTGCCACCTCGGCCGGTTGTCATCATTGTATGTCGATGCTTCTGAACCTCAACATGTGGTCACCGCTGTCAAGTTTGCCCGAAAGCATAATCTCAGAGTCACCGTCAAGAACACTGGACATGACTACTTTGGCCGCTCGACCAGTCCCAACACGCTTGCGATTTGGACTCACCGCATGAACACGATGAAGTATCATGCGGACTTTGTTGCGTCGAACTGTTCGGTTTCGAACGGTCAACATATCGGGGAGATAGGGGCTGGTGCTCAAGCGTCGGATATCTACACCTATTTCCAGGAGTTCAACATGGATGTGACGGGCGGAAATGAAGGATCGGTGGGCCTGGCGGGCGGGTTTGGTCAAGGAGGTGGTCACGGTATTTTTGGTCCTTCGTACGGTCTAATGGTGGATAATGCGGTCGAGTTCGACGTTGTGACGGCAGATGGCCAATTCCGCACCATCAACCGATGCAATGACCCCGAGCTCTTTTGGGCCATGCGAGGTGGAGGCGGAGGCACCTTCGCAATTCTCACAAGCTACCGGTTCCAACTCCACCCGGCCGTTAAGATCAATGTGTATCAGCTCGAGGCCAACTTCACGCTCCATGGCAATGAGACGGCCAATTACCCGGCCCTGGAACAACTACTTACCCAGCACGCGACGAACCAACCGGTCTGGTCCCACCACAACATTTCAGGGCATGCGTACTACTGGCCGACTAGAGCCGAGATTTACCTCGTCTTGCCGTCCAACGACGAAACAGCCCTGAAATCTCTCACCAGTGAATTTGCCTCCTTCGTGACGAACAACCCCGGTATCCGAGTCAACCAGAGCACCTACACCACCTACCCCAAATACACCGAGTTCCTCCAGGTCACCAACAACATTGCCGCCAAACTAACCCCAGGCGGCATCTTCGGAGTCGTCGCAGGTCGGCTAATGCCAGAATCCTTATTCGAAACCCGCCACACCGTAACCGATCTCGTCCAGGCCGTCCTCGACGGCATCCGCCTTAGCAATAAGCTACTTCCCGAGAGTTCCGTCTCCCAGGTCATCATGACCACCCCGGTGAACCACCGAAACGGGGATGCGACAAGTGTTAATCCCGCCTGGCGCTCGGCTCTTTGCCATGTCCTCATGACCGGTGGATGGACGGAGCAGCTCAGCAACTTTACCGAGGCAGAACTTGTGGAAACATGGCTGGATACGGTCGAGCCCCTGAAGGGGCTTACCCCCGGTGGAGGCTGCTACCTGAATGAAGGCCATTACTTGGAACCAGAGTGGCAGGAGACTTTCTTTGGATCAAATTATCCGGAATTGCTTCGAATCAAGAAAAACTATGATCCAGATCATTTCTTTGATTGCTGGAAATGTGTCGGCTGGCAGGGTCCTTCGGGGTAAGTTGTTCTCTTTCTTTTCCCCTGGGTTTAGTCCAGGGACCATTGTTGGGAATACGGCTAACTGGGAAAACTACGTAGTTCCTACAGCTGTTACAACTAGACTGTAATGTGTTTTTGTCCCGTGATCAAGTTGTCCTCCTGGCTATAGACTCTATAGTCTCTATAGACTCTCGTTGTTTCAGCTTCTGGCATTGACTGGATGCAATTGCATACATCAGGGACCATTAAAATGATGGTTTCCGAACTCTACTTTACACAACCCCTTCCGAGGTTTCTTCAACAATATGTAAAGTTATCAATACTGGTCGAGTAAACCAGCTTTTGTACTTATTATTGTGAAAGAAGATGCTAAGAAAGGGATAAAGGCCTATGACTGTTGTGTAGGCGGGGACCTTCCCTAGACAAATACCAACGCGACTAGCATTTTCCCTTAATCCTCACATTATCTGGATCGGCGATTGCATTGGTGGGTTGCTCTGGGGTGGAGGTACCTTTGAATGGGGAGTTGAGTCAAGGATCTTGAATTGAGCTTATTTTGCCTCTATAGGGTCACCCAGGCTGATTTTCACCACAACTCAGCTTTGCGATATTGTTGGCATCTCCAAATTCGCGTGTTGACTGGTCAGTATCTGAGATACCCAAAGAGACTGGCGTGCAAGGGTACCTAGCAGTCGGGGGTCAGTAGCCACTCATAGTACCCAATTTCCAGCCTAAGTGGCTGTGGCCAAGCAGTCGCCTACGGTGCAGATCTTCTCTTGCCAGTCAGCATGGCGCAGCTTTGGAGCGTAACAGGTGGGGCCGTTGGGGGCCGAGCCGCCAAGAGTGTCGCTTGTTTCCGAAGTCAATCCAGCTGTATTCAGCTCACGACAGCACTGTCGATGAGCAACAATTTTCAAACACCAGCATCCCTTTCCTCTTCGTAATCTTATCATCATCATTGATCGCCTTGTCGACGGATGCTTCAATATGCCAAAACTCAAGGCACCTCGCGGAAGACCATCCAGAAGTTGCGAGAATTGCCGAGTCGTGAAACGACGCGTGKGTCTTTTCTTACCGTTCTAATGACACTACGTAGCACTAACACGGTGACCCAGTGCGACAAGAAGGTTCCCCAGTGTGGTCAATGCATTCGCACGCGCGATATTTGCCTTGGATACCGCGATGAATGGGATTTAATCTTCCGTGACCAGACAAACCACACCATCAAACGGTCCAGTAAGACACGAGAAACGAATGGGTTCTCGACCAGGACTATCCCGTTAATTCCACCTACCCGAGGTCTGGATCCCAGTCTCGAGGAGATAGGCGTGAATTATTTCCTCCGGGACTTTGTCGCGGGTGGTCTCTGCCCTTCACGCGGATATCTGAACTATATCCCGACGGTCTATTCTGCCGATGCGGAGCACCCGGCCCTCATTGCCAGTATGGCGGCCGTGGGTCTCGTCGCGTTGGCCTCTCACCAGCCCGAGCTGGTCATTCGTGCGCGTGCCAAATACTCAGAGGCGATCCTCCATGTAAACCAGGCGTTAGCATCCCCGGCAGAGTCCGTCAAAGACAGCACCTTGATGTCGGTAATATCGCTGGGAGTTTTCGAGCACATCTCCAATTTCGAGTCTTGGGTTCGACATGTCAAAGGAGCTGCAGCGTTGGTGGTTGCCCGCGGCAAATCTCAATTTGCCCGTAGGCCTGCCATCCTGATGTTCAACCAGGTGCGCGCAGATATGTCAGCGGCTTGTATTCAGACCGTACAGCCGTTTCCAGACGACTTGCGGGAGCTGCAGGAAGAGGCGACCAAGTATACCGACCGTTCGGATGCATTATGGTTACTCGGAGTGCTCGCCACGCGGTGCGCAACCCTTTTCGCGGGCGTCGCAAAGAAGCATGATGACAAGTCTTTACTGATACCCACGTCCTGGTCGGACTTCCTAGAAGAGTCGATCGCGATTCAGAGTGAATTTCAATACGTTCTTGATATCCTTACTACGCAAGAACCGTACATAACAATCACGGAACCCCGTGGGAGCGCGACCTTCATTTCTTGTGATGGCCAATATGACCTATACAAGACATCTTGGGCAATAAGACTGTGGAACAACTCTCGAATGGTTGAAATCATCGTTTGCCAGATTATATGCTGGCTCATAAACAAGGTGCTCGCCGAGGAGCCGGCTTACCCCGCTGAGGGCCACCTGAAGCTTCAATCAAAGCTCCGGTATACAATGCAGATTATTTCAAAACGAGTAGCGGAGATACTGGCCAGCGTTCCACAGGGCCTAGGGCTTGTATCGGTCCCTGATGCTGATAGACTCCAAGAACCCAACGTGTCGGGTGGGTATATGCTGATCTGGAATCTGTATACAGTCGGTAAATCTCCTGCTATCAGTCATCAAAATCGCCAATGGGTCATCAAGCAACTTAAGGGTATCAGTGAGCGTGCAAATATCGCAATGGCGTCTCAGCTTGCGAAGGATCTTGTTGAAATAGGACGAAGTGAACATTGAGAGCCGTTGCCTCTAGGCAGGCCCCTTCAGGGATCAATTTTAAGGGATCCTAGCAACTCCACCGTAATCGAGAGGATCGACGAGGTGGTATTTGGTCTATCCACGCAGTTCTAATTAGACAACTGTATCAAGCATCTCAGTCCAGCAGCTAAGCTAGAAACCGAACTCATCATTCATTTTAGCCTGCCTCCCGGGCGTCTATTCCTTGTGGGGTTCCGTTGGCTGTCATTGCCCGAGGATTCTGACTGGTGCGGCCGCCCTCAACTACCTGTAGCTACCAGTATCACTGACCCCGCTGGGGATGCTCCGGGCTTTATGGGGAGAACGACGAATTCAATCAGGACTGTACGTTGTATGGACTGACGCCGCTGACAAGTCCCTCGACATCCGCCACTCGAGACCTGCACGAGGTATCACTGGGAGACATTGAACGGTGGACAGAAGCCCATGAAGTACAGCAGACTATCGCCAACAGCGGCGAGGCGCAGCACCTGGACTCTAACTGGGAGGCCCGCTTCAATGCGGTGGATGGCCACCGAGCCCTGTACCATCGCGACCTTCATCACTTAAGTAACAGACATTTAACAACAGCGCTGTTCTCATGTTCTGCGCTCCTGGCGCACCGCAGATGAACATCTACCCTCAAATGTAAGCGGTTTCCAAACCGTCGCCAGGCTGGCCAACAAGGGATGGATCACGATTGCCAAGTCGGCCATCTGTGGTGCGATCAGAGTGGCTTCATTTGCCACTCAGCCAGCAGGCACCGAATTCGTGACCGAGCATGTCCTGGATAAACAAAGTCTAAGAAACTACCCGGAGTACATGACCAAGTGACTGAACATAAAGGACTAAGAACTCGTAATCAACCGGACTCTTCCACATAGTGGCGTACGCCTCTTCGGCGCGATCCGCACCAGATATCCTTGTCATGTCGCATGTAAATCGTCAGTCGAGGAAGGTCCTGGATATCCAGAGCGACCAGGGGGTACAATTCTTGCAATAGGCTCTCAACCGCCACATTAAAGTAACCTTTGAAATCACGACCGAAGACATCTTCGCCTTCCTCGCCAGGGGTGAGCTCCAAGGGTGGATAGTGTGCGACTCTGGAGACCGCCACCATATATGGAATCTCCTTGCGATCCCGCAGGGGCGCAGACGAGGGAAGTGGTGAGTTAAGCACTGACTGCAGAGCCTCAGGAGTCACCATGAGACAGGCACTAGTAGTGAGTCCTTTGGGAAGATCCCTCCACATCTCCTCGAAGCGTCTATTCTGTTAGACAAACACCTAAACAGATAAGGACAAGAGACCTACCGAGAAACCTCAATTGGCGACGCTCCCTCCAACGCTGGATCCTCTACCCACCAAAACCGCAGCAGCTCAATCGCCCGATCTGACTTGGGATGAAACCCGCGCTGATTCGCATGCCCCTCCTCAACGATCTGGTCCCAGCGGCGACGAAACTCCGCCCACTGCGCATCGGCCTCAGGCCCGTAAGCCGCCGCGCGAAAGATCACAAATCCCCATTCTGACCAGTCTGGTTCGAACTTGAACACGTTCTTCAGGGTGTCGATGTAGGGGGCCCAGATCTCGCGGTCAGCGAACTTCTGCTCGTCTGTTTTAGTGGCTTCTTCAGCGAGGCGTTGAGCTTCCATGTTTTCCATGACTTGTTGGTGGATTTTGTCTTCGAAGGCCTGGTACAGGCCTGCTTCTTTAAGGCCATTGAGTAGGGCCATGTGTTGGTCTTCGGTGAGGGTGGCGAAGTCCTCGTTGCTGCCGTTCATGACGCGCTCGTAGTCCCATCCTGGTGGATAGAATGACATCTTGCTTTATTGTTTATCTTTTCAAAAGAAGAATGAAGATTGAGATGAAGTGATGAAAGGAGAAGCTGAGGAGGGGAAGGAAACAGGGGGTGATCATTCATTAAATTGGCGATATCGGATAGCTAAGCCACACGCCACCTGGTTAGTAGTTGGGTGGGCAACCATTAGTGAATCCCAGCTGTTGTATGTTTTTCGTTTTTCATTTTATTTTTTGCTTTGCTGTATGCCATTGCCATTGTTCAAGAATTAGAGTGTTATACCAGTCCGCCGCCAGAGAATAATTTCGAGCCAGTGCAGGGGTGCACGCTGGAAGATGTGGGTTGGATGAAGGTGTGCTAGATAGGGCTCAGATAGTGACCTCTGCTTTTATGCGCAATGGCCTGGACTGAGAAGCGCAGTATAGGCGTCCTCCTGAGATTACTTTCAACTTCTGATCTGACAATTTTTCTGCCTTGGAGCTGTTGTCGATACTTGATAGTTCGGTACGATTTGCTAGTCATTTGCATATAAAAAAAGTATAAAGATTAAATTTTATAATAAGAGATTATAAGAAATAAGTATCCTTAAATCACCTATGCTAGATACAACCTATATTAAGGAACAGGAGCTTCCGCTCTGTCAAGAAACGGACTAGAATTCATAACCTTAATCTCATCCAAGGAAAATGATTGGCTATGCGTAATGGCTTCCAAGTTTTGTTTTTATTGATAGACACGGCACATGACGGGATGATGAAACCAACGCGTTTAACACGAATATAAATGGTCGACCCGCCACAGTCCACAAGTCCACACTGGTGCTCTTCAACATCACATCTCGACACATTCAACAGTAGGCATGCCTCGCCTCGACGATAGCACCGAAGCGCTCCTTCGAGCAGGCCACAGCGCCCAGAGCACCGTCAAGCGTGCTTGGGATGGCTTCGTCAATTTCGCCGTGCGAGACAATGTTCTCGAGGTTGCATTGGGTTTGATGTAGGACTTTGTTGACCTCACAAAAGGAATCGACTGACATCGATTAGTATCGCTCAAGCATTTACCAAAGTGGTTACCTCTTTTGTCTCCGATATCATTCTTCCCATTATCGCTCTTCTTCCATTTTTGCATCGCAACCTGGACGAGAAGTTTGCCGTCCTCCGACGTGGGCCGCATTATGTCAAGGAAAAGGGGTATAATACCCTCGAGCAGGCGCGAAACGACGGCGCCCTGGTACTGGCTTATGGGTATGCTCACCACGCAAGATTATATGGCAACCATTTGAGTATTTTGAGCTGAAGAGTGGCACAGCGCATTCCTCGAGACAATGATTAGCTTTCTCGGGGTCAGTCTTACATTGTATGCGATCGGGCATCTCTACACGTGGATCTCGCATGATGAGGTCATTAAGCTAACAGTGAAATGCAAATACTGTCGGAAGGACATCAGTGAGAAGGTATTTTTTTTTATCTCCTATGCCCACTGGAATGTCCAGCCTTCTAATATGTTTAGGCATTGCGCTGCGTCAACTGTACCAGCTGGCAGGACGGTCGCGAGGATTCGCGCCAACAGTAGACCTTTGAGTGGAAGCCTTATTATCGATCAAGTACAGAGAGCCAATAGCATAAACACGTTGGGTTATTTCTACTGCTAGCTTCTTTTAGTTTAATTTAACTTTCTTATTGATATCTACAGAAGACTGTCGTACTGAGATGACGACATCATGGAAATTGAGATGCCTTTTGGTCTATATAACATAATACAGCCCCATCTTCCAACAAATGGGCTTGTGGTTTAGTGGTATAATACCCCCTTAGCATGGGGGTGGTCCGGGGTTCGATTCCCCGCGAGTCCATTTTTTTGCTTTTCAATTTTATTTTCTTGAACCGTTTTTGCACCTTTGCAACCTCGATGATTTTATGGCTCTATTTTTAGTTCATGGGTCGAATATATCCTTGAAGACGTTTTCAATCCATATCAGATTGTTTCGCAGCCATCATGTTATTAGAGTAGAGTTACCCAATAGTAAATACCAAAAATTTATGACTTACCGACCTTTTCTTATCCCAGAGTTTATTAAAAGCCTAGAAAATCAGGACATAGCGAAGGCACTCATTTATAGTCAAGCTGTATGTCATTGATGCTATATTTTGACTACAATTAATTACCCTTACTGTTTCTGGCAGAGCTTCGAAGGAGTGCTGAAGAGAAGTCGAATATGATTGGGACCAAATGCATGGCCTGTTTTCCTGTTGACATGAATGCCCTACCTCAAGCGTGTCACATATGAGTATCGCACGTCAAGACTTAAGTACAGACCTGGCAGATCGAATAATATTCAAGTTGGACTGGCCATAGTTTTCATACGCTTTAATAACGTAGATGACAAGAAATCATTGGGGAGGAGAAACATGAGGAGAGAGCTGAACAGGCATTCTAGTCTAGTCAACACCGTGGCTATCAGAGTCTATGGCACGAACATTAGGGCACCTCAGACATTAGGTCAACTGTCGCATAATTCCAGCATCTCAGACTGATGCCAGCAAGTCCCGATTCTGCATCAGACGCGCGACCGCCAGTAGCAAAGTGCCGAGGAAGAGACTGACACCGGAGTAGATAGAAAGCGAGAGATATCCGTATTTGCCAGCCAGTTCGCCACTGATAGGAATGCCCGCCATTGAGCTGTGTAAAAGTTAGCTTTGCATATTGAAAGATGTAGATACGTACGAAAGAGATGTAGACGCCATTACAGCACCAATAGATAAGCCCAAGGTCTTCGGTGTAGCGATTTGAGCTGCGCACGCTTGTTGAAGGGAGAGAATAGCCTAGGAGCACGTTAGCGCCTCTTATAAAAGGGACGAAGACTTGATTAAGGCGCACTCCAGAAGTGAATCCGTATGCTGCAGACCAAACTACCAATCCCGCAACGGACGTCGCAGTTGTCCAGCATAATGCGATGACACCGGATAACAGTGTCGCGAGGATGCAGATGTTGAACCGACCATATCGATCCGCAAGGATGCCTGGAATAATGCGGCCGAAGAAGGACGCTCCGTTAATAATGGAGATTGTGTAGAATGACAAGTCGGCGGAGAAGCCCTGTGCCACGGCATAGGATGTGGTGAAGAAGAAAGGGGAAAACATTCCGAAATAAGTGATGAAAAATGCCAGGCAAGTCACCTGCATCTTGGGTTCTCTCAAGATCGAAAATCCTGATTTGGGAGTATTGACGGGCTCCTGGTCTGGAATCACACCCTCGTTGGCGTCTGGTCTCTCAGGCAGCGTCTTCGTGGCTGCTGGAGCCTTAGGAGGCCGACAACAGAGACACGAAACGGCAAGAAGAGGGATCATAATGAATCCAACGATGCGCATCGTCCACCCAAATCGAATATTGGGCTTTTTCAGGAGCTCGTTAATAACAATAGGCCAGATAACACCACCTAGAGATGAACCAGCGATAACGATCCCCATAGCGGCTCCACGTTTTACCTTGATATATTGACCGACGAGAGCAAGCATGGGACACACTAAAAGTGCCAGGGATACACCGAGCAAGATGCCTTGCGCAAGAATGAACTGGTAGAATTCCTTGCAGAGCGAGGTCATCATGATTGAGAAGACGGTCCCGACCGAGCCCACATAGAGTAATAGCTAAGCAGTCTGTTAGCTACGTCGCAGTTTCAGGAGCATACGAGGGACTTACCCTTGGTCCGAAGGCGTCAAGGAGAGGGCCAGACACTACGGACACGGAGAAGACAAAGAAGATACTGAGAGCACCGAGCCATGCGATTGTTGATTCAGACTTGTCCGCAAGCTGATTCTTCGCGTAGTACTCTTGAAAAATACCAAACGAGTTCAAGAAGCCCACGGTGCAGAATAGCCCCGTGAAAGAGCCCAGAATGGTCAAGTTCGCTCGTGGCCTAGCGAAATCGCATGAGTTAGTCCATCCTGCGAAATTTTTGTTCACCGGCGTTGAGTTCTGAACGTACGTGTACTCGCTAGGTGGCTTCTCGTCAGCCATATCGATATATCACTCTAATGCAATTGGGTAAACAAGGTAGCTTTAAGAGAAGAAAAGCAATCTTCTTGTTGTCGGACAGAGTGATTATTGTAGGGATTGTGCTTGGTACGATAAAAGTTCTGCGATGGAGCAAGAGAAGACATCGCTATATAAGGCCAGTCCTCGAGCCCTTATTGAGCATAATACAGGATGGTCGGAGACTCCACGGAGGGACAATATTCAAGGCTGGAAGTGGACGCCTGTATTCCCTACCGTAAACATCCCGCCGCCATGGACAGTCCGCGGAAGCTCCGATGACACAGGGAAGAGACATCTCCGATTCTTAGACGCAATCACACCCCGTTTAATGTAGCAAATTGCTTCAGATAATCCTAAACTGGGCTGACAGAGGTTCTCAGACTCAACCTATCTCCGAGCAGATTCTGCCTGTCAGTGGTGTGATGAAGCAAGACAGCAACATTCTTGAACATTGACTGATACGACCGTGGAGCACGTGACTTCCCTAGTCCCCGTGCTCTTTTCACGTGCATTGAGCAATAATCATTTCAACAATCACAACAAAGGATATGAAGCGCAAAGCTGCTCCAAACTCATCCGATACAGGGGCAAAGAGACCTCCCAGACAAGATCCAGTGTCCTGTGAGTCTTGCCGGCGGAAGAAGCTCAAATGCAATCGTCAGCGACCATGCAGCAGCTGTGTTACTCGAAGGCTGGATTGCAGCTATGGCATGTCGCTGGAGAGGATTGAACCTTCAACAGCCGAAGCAGAAGATGCAAGCCATACCAACACTGCTCCATCAAATCAAGGGATTGGAGGCCAGCCCAGGGAGATTCGCGTCGTGACTGCTCATACGATCACGAATCCTCGGCCAACGCGAACGAGTAATGAATCACTCAAAACAGCGGACTGGCTAGAAAATATCGTCATGTCAGATCGACTTGCAACCGTAGTTTCGAGGCACCTGCAAGATGAAGTCAGTTTGTCTGAAGCCGCTCATGACCCA